GGGGGAAAGTCTTACTCAGGTGTGAACTTCCAAGCTATAAAATAATGACTTGCCTGGCAAGACATACCCACTGATACAAGGGTGGCATCAATGTAATAGGGCACCGTTAACTGGACCAAACCCCATAGCTGGCTAGGTCACAGGCCTAAAGGAAGAACTTAATGCTATCATTCTGCTAAATGGACATAGTATCAAACTGCCTTCCAAATAATTATGGGTATAGCAACAAATTAGTGCAGCTTTCAACTATCATCAAAGAAGCCTGTCTCTTCTTGAAGTTACTAGAGACCCACAATTAATTAAAATGCAGAATAAGTGACTATGGAAAACTTATGTATTGCATCCTGTTCCACACAAGACTCAAGAATCATTATGGAAGAGGGGGAAGGAAGCATGGTACGAGTCAGAGGTCAGAGAGGACTACTGGGCATCATGCTTTCCAGACATGACAGGCCTGTTGAACCCATGAACTCAAAGCACAGCTGTGGCTGCTTGTGTAAGAACAGCACGAGATCAAACTAGTTCAAATTTCAGAATAAATGGGGAGGGGCTAACACAGCACGCCTCTCAACAGAGGAGGTACCGGCAGCTGAAGGCTGCTGGAGCTGCCGAGGATGATCCTGCACCCACAAACATACTGGAAACACTAATCAAACTCAGTGGATTAAAGGGGCCATGGAGATGGCAGGCAGGTATAGTGTAGTAGGTCTGGGAGGAGACTGGAAGGCGGAATCATGGGATGAATACAATCCAAATACACTGAATAAGTGAGGCATTTTCAAAGAATAAACAAATACATGTTTAAAAGGTCTTACATTTTCTATTTTGCTTATATTTAAAGTCATATCTATAAAATTACAGATTTTGGAAGTACCATTTAATAATAATAAAAGGAAGAAATATGTAGGCACTTAAGAATTGGTTGAGCCATTGAGAATCCTTCACGTTCTTCTAGAAGACTCTAGTCTGGTTCCCAACACCCAAGTTGGGCAGTTCACAATCACCTGTAACTTAAGCTCCAGAGAATCTGACATCACCTTCTGGACATCTTGAACATCTAGACATGCTTAGTACACACACACACACACACACACACACACACACACACACACGCACCCCCCACAAATAAAAATAAAATAATAATTAAATGAATAGTTTAGAGTATGACTGACAAATGATAAATCTAAATAAATGCTGTAACATTTTATATTTAAATCTGTGTATGGATATGGGAGTATAAATCCTGTCTACACGTGCTTACATTTTTATATTGTATGTATGGCAACAAAATGGCTCATAAGAAATACGTGCTCACAAATAATCCTGAGTGAGGTGGCCCAGACTCAGAAAGACAAATACTGTATGTAGTCACTCATAAGTAGGTATTAGATATAAAGCAAGGATAACCAGACTACAACCCACAGCTCCAGAGAAGCTAGAGCCTGCTTCCAGTAACTGATGGAACCAGATGCAGAGATCCACAGCCAAGCACCAAGCTGAGCTCTGGGAATCCAGTCAAAGAGAGGGAGGCGGGAATATATGAGCAAGGGAGGTCAAGCTCATGATGAAGAAATCTACAGGGACAGCTGGGCCAAGCTCGTTGAAACTCATGAACTCTGGACTGACAGCTGTGGAACCTCCATGGGACCAAACCGGGCCCTCTGCATGTAAGAGATGGGCCCCCTGGCAGTAGGACCAGGATCTATCACTGGTGGTGTATGAGTTAGCTTGTTGGAGCCCATTCCCTATGAGGGGATGCCATGCTCTCAGCCTTAACGTAGAGGCTTGGTCCTGCCCTAACTTAATGTGCCAGACTGTGTTGACTCCCTATGAGAGCTCTTACCTGTTGGGAGGAGAGGATGGGGGGTGGGCTAGGGAGGAGGTGAGGGGGAACAGGAGGATGATGGAATGTAAAATGAAATTAAAAAAGAAATAAGTGCTCTAATAAATTAAGACAGAGGCTGGAGAGATAGATAGCTCAGCAGTTAAAAGCACAGGCTGTTCTCCCAGAAGACCTAGGTTCAATTCCCAGCAACCATATGGTAGTTCACAACTGTCTGTAACTCTGTTCCAGGGGATCCAGCACCCTCACACATACATGCATTCCAGCAAAACACCAATGCACATAAAATACAAATAAATTATAATAAAAAGAAATTAAGACAGTTAAGTTAGTACAAATTACTTCCTAGTTCATAACATGACTAAAATAATTTAAAACTCAGCATTCTAACTTATGGTAATCATGACAGATTAAGTCTGGCTAGCAGTCCCAATATGCCAATTAGAGACACAGTAATGAGAGATGAAAAAAACAACAGTTCTATAAATCAATCTGGCTCTGTCAGGGGGAACAAATCAAAGGGTTTGATGATTCCAGATCTGGCTTTGGGCATCTGGCCCATACTTCTATTTTAAAATGTGTAATAATTTTAAAGAGAGAGAGCGTTAAGACAAAAGGCAAGTGGCATACAGAACAGTCCCAGCCAGGGTGGTTATCTGTCTGGTCTGTTTCCTAGCTGATCAGTATCTCGGTTCTTATTCTGTATGGAGGCCAAAAGGTTCCTGTTGGGCGTGTTCCCATGATGCTGTCTGGAGCAGACCGACAGAGGGACAACAGCATGGCCTCAGCTCTGAGGACTGTGGACCCGCCTGGAAGAGGTGATCTTACAGCTTTCTGGGGATGGAACTGGTTTCAAAGCAGGAGCCAGGCTGCAGGCTCTCAGATTACCAGGCAGGAAAGGCAGGGGAGCCTGTGGGCCAGTGAAGGGGGGTGGCGAGCAGGCTAGTACTCACTTGGATGTACGCTCGCTTCTCCAGGTGAGAAATCCTGGCAAGTGTGTCAGCTATTGATTGGACAATGTCTTAGGAAGGTGGATGTCGGTATCCGTGAGAGAGGAAGGCTGCTGGAGACGTTACTTCCTAAGCAATAGCTGGGTCCTAACATTACATTCTTTCAGTAGCCACTCAAATTTGTAAGATGAGTAGGGTGAGCAGGCTTGGGTCCAAGCGCATTGGCATTCATTGGCAGCAGCCTTGCCCTCTGGCCCAAGTGACTAATGAATGTATATTCTAGGTGGATGCCAGAATGGTAAATGGTCTAGACAAAGCAGCCAGCCAGGAAAGGAACTGACGGTGCCACCTTACGTCACCTGGGCTCTAGAGCCTTCTGCTAACTTCTGTACACACAGGCTTACTCCTGTCCTCCCTACGAGTTAGAAAAGCCCTGTTCAGGGTAACCACGGGGAACTTAGGGTCTTCTCCTAATGTAATACTGCACTCACACACAGTAAGGCCCATCTCTATCAGGACTCATCTTTTAAAACAATGTGTAGGCACTGGAAAGGTGACACAGCAGGTACAGGCACCAGTCTGGTCACCTGAGTTGTTCTCTGACCTCCAAAATGCAAGTTGTAGTATGCAAGTGTGCAGGTCTCTCTCTCTCTCTCTCTCTCTCTCTCTCTCTCTCTCTCTCTCTCTCTCTCTCTCACACACACACCGCACACACAACAATAATACATAAATAAAATTTAAAAACAAAACAGTGTCTAGAAATATCTGAGGGCACTAGCAATTATGACAGAGCCCAACTCTGGTCATTCATGTATATGGATCCAACCCCCTTTCCAACGAGTATCAGAAGGTAAAAATTCAGGGCTTATTGCTAGTGCTAAGATTCACTGACTTACGGGCACAGGTCATGGAATACAGAGGAAGCTTCCCTTGAATCTGTGAGACTCATAAAAAGCAGGTGCCCCTGAGGAGGAGACACAGCCCGGAAAACCCGGCAGCCTGCACAGTGACACTCTATACCGAAGGGGATGTATCTGCTTTCCAACAGTGTCAAGCCAACAATGACTCCATTTTACTAAACAACCTTGGCCAGAGTGTCTCCAAGCTGAAGTGTAAGAGCTCCCAACCACCACCACCACCAAAAAAAAAAAGGCAGGCTGGCTTGTTTACACAAGTGAACAACCGGTATCTGCCAGAGCATCAGGCAATGGCGACACCTGAAAATACACCAAATCATAGCAGACACACCACACAAATCAGTTTGTCAGCCATACCACACGCAAGCCCCTCACCTGAGACCTCAGAAGGAGCACCCCCAAGACGAAGTGTGGCAGGCAACTGTCAGGATACTACCCACCGGGGAGAACTCCTGAGTCAGTCCCTGGACTCCAGTTCCAGTGCGGTTTCTCCTGCCCAGGACATGCAGCCAACTTAAACCGACTTACTCATGCTCACGGCGTATACATTCGACTTCTGCACCCGCGCTGCCAGGACATCATTTTTGGTTCCCTACATTCTTTTCTTTGCATCTGCCTCAGCTCAATGCCTCGTACTTCGGAGCCAACTCACAACTCAACCATTTTTTTTTTTTTTTTTTTAGCTCATAGCCATTCTGGGACCCGCACATTTGGATATTTTTATGTAAAATGTTCATGTTTATCCACCAGTTGATGCCACTGCTTAGACTGTTATATAAGAACCTATGATTGCCAATGGCTGGCTAGCAAGCAAGACCGGGCACACTTGGCTAATTGTTAACAACGAAGCAGACATAACTTGTGAAATTATTATCCGACAAATTCCGGCACTGGGAACACACCAACCTGTGTCCCCTCTGTTTCTGACAACGCGTCCAGGACCCAAGGTCACCACACCCTGTGACCCCCTGCCCGCCCCCCCCCCCCACACACACAGGAACCCCAGCGTCCCGAGTCTCACGACGCGGCCGCCACCGCCCAAGCTGCGGAGCCTCGAGGCTGCGGGCGCCCGGATGCTAAGGGAGGCCACGGCCACGGCCCTGCGCGCTCGGCGAGGGCCGGCACCGCGACCGTGCCTGCTGGCCCGGCTCCACCCAGCGGGACCGGGGCAGCGAGCGCGGCCCAGCGGAGCCAGAGGAGCCGCAGACGCCGCAGACTCGGCGGCCCGCGGAGGCCGCGTCCCCACGGTCGCCTCCTCCCACGCCCGGGACCCCGCCCGGCCGCACGCACCATTTCCAGTCACCGCGTGTCCTGGGGTTCTCCGGCGGCTCCTGCGATCAGTGGGCGACACGCAGACACCGCGGCGGGGACGACCTGCGGGTCTCTCTCCCCCCGAGAAGACACAGACGCCTAAAATGGCTGGACGGGAAGTGGCACCCCCACACCCCCCCCCCGCCGCCGCCGCCGCCGCCGCCGCGCCCGCCCTCCCCCAACATCTGGGCGCCTCATTGGACGGCCTAGGCGGCCGAGCCGCTCCTCTTATTGGCCAGCGCGTCACGTGGCCCGCCTCCGCGGCTTAAGCGACAGAAGGGACGTCCTCTCGCGCGTACAGTGGCGCCAAACCTTAAGCCGGAGCCCGAGCCTTTCCTGGGGTCTGATCCGGCCGTGAGGTCCCCCCCAAGCTCTGCTGGCTTTGCAGACGCGAGCGGGGCGGAACTCTGTTTTCGCGTGGAACTAGGAAAGGGTGGAAGCCCGGGGCCCGCTGAGCTCTATTTGCACGCGCGCGAGAGAAGCGGGCGAGTCCCGAGCGCGCTGTGCCCGCTCGGCTCGGCTGCCACCGCGGTCTCTGTGCCTGGCCATTTGCACGCCCCTTTGAAGGGCTCCCCGAAACCCGCCGTTGACCTCCTCTCACAGCCGTCACTGTGGCGAAGCGTTCAGGGAACGAAGAGACGCAGAGTAATTCGAAACATCCAAGATTCTTCGGGAACTGTCAGGGTTGGGCGGGTCCCAGCGGAGCTCCTTCCCGGGAGACAGAAGACCTGGGAAACTCCTGAGGCGGTCGTTGCCGCTTCCGGGACCGTCTTCCTGACGAAGTTCCCAAAGAAAGGGCAGAAGTTGGAAAAAGGAAGCCTTGAGGGAGAAGGTTCGGTCTGAAAGGCCACTCTGGGTGGTGCGGGCGTTCCGGGAGGCCAGGGAAGGAGCAATGAGCAGGCGAGAGATGCTTGCAGTGTCTGGTGGGGGGTGGGCAGGCTTGGAAGAAGGTCCGGAGAGCTGGCAGACGGGTATTTTTGAGAGATCTTTTAGGAAGACGGGAGCGGAGAAAGGGAAGCTGTGAGGCTTGAGACTGCAGCCAGCAAGCTGACTAGACGGCATCTGTAAACCTTAATAATTTAATGTTTAGAAAATTTGTTTGGATGCCTGTGTGCCTGCCACCTGTGTGCAGGTGCCCATGGAGGCCAGAAGAGTGCGCTGGATCCCCGGAGGTGGAGGTCCAAGCTGCTGAGTGTAGGTGCCAATACAGGATTGGGGTACTTTGCAAAAACAGGACTGCACCCTAAACCACCAGGGAGACAGCTCTCCGGCTCCCTACATTTCTATTTCAGACTCCCATCCAGCTCTCTCTCCTTCGCATTTATAAAAGCTTCATTTGATATGCGCTGTCAAATTAGCAGGCCAGCTGTGTCCCGCTCTGTCTACTTTTCCCTTTCCTCCCTGTCTCTAGTGTTTCCTTTTTATTTTCCTTTTCACAGACTTGCCCAGTTTCAAAGTCTCCAAATGGCTGGGACTGCTTTAGGTTATCTGATTCTATTTCTTTACTTATCCCTCGACTTTTAACAAAATTACCTTCTCTCCACTCTCATGCCGCTAATACCCCCTTGTATTTACTTTTTCCTTGTCTGCTGTTTGTCTTCAACAGAGGAATAATCACCACCTTTAGTTACTTTTCTTTTCCTTTCTACTCATACCTAATGTAACTGGTACACTTGTGCAAAAATATGATATTCTTCCATTTCCTAAAATGGGTGGTAAATTTGTTTTTTTCTAGATAGTCTTTTATTTTAATGTATGGTCATAGTGGGCCTACCCATGGGTAGCGAGTATTTTTGCAGACACTATTTCCCCTTTAGCATGGTAATCCAAACAGTATAGAGCAGAGCTTTTTGTTTTGTTTTGGGTTTTTGTTTTGTTTTTTGTTTGGTTGGTTGGTTTGTCTTGACAGGGTTTCTCTGTATAGCTCTGGCTGTCCTGGAACTCACTCTGTAGACCAGGCTCTCCTTGAACTCACAGAGATGCACCTGTTTCTGCCTCCCCAGTGCTGGGATTAAAGGTGTGCACCACCACTGCCCGACTTAAAGGGCAGAGTTAAACAAAACTTCAACCCTGTTACAACCTGAAAATTGGGAACAGTTCCATTTGAAAAAGGCAGTATGATTAAACACACACACACACACACAAAATGATTTAACCCAAAATTTAAAAAAGCTTTAAGCCGGGCGGTGGTGGCACATGCCTTTAATCCCAGCACTTGGGAGGCAGAGGCAGGTGGATCTCTGTGAGTTTGAGACCAGCCTGGTCTACAGAGCGAATTCCAGGACAGCCTCCAAAGCCACAGAGAAACCCTGTCTCCAAAAACCAAAAAAAAAAAAAAAAGCTTTAATGCAGAACTATAGTAAACATGAAAAACCAAGGCAACATAATTTCACCAAAAATACTAATCCCATAGTAATGGCCTCCAAATCAAGTGAATTAGTTGAAATTTTAGACAATAAAAATCAAAATGGTTATTTTATATATATACACACACATATAAAGAAGCCACAAATGCCTTACAAATTCCAACAGAACATAAACACAAGTCAAGGACAACAACAGACAAAGGGGAGAGCCCGTGGCATTTGGGCCTCACTTGATGACAACTTATAAAGAGGTCTGTCATCATTGGCACTGTGATTTCATTCAGCAATTTTATAGCTTTTGGCCTGAATGCCACTACACCAGTGGGCTAAGAATTTCACTGAAGTAGAAGGCTCTTGAATTTTGGTTGGATTTATTTACCATCCTCTGATATGCATATGATATCACCAGTGAGTCCAAAATGGCACCAATTTCTCCAGTTCCTCCAGAGATGCAATACTGCTCTTGATCCCCCATTTTCCTTGGTGGAAGAAACTCATTTAGCCTTTCCAAGCATAATTGCCCTTACTCCACAAGTCAGGGAACTAATGTGAGAATTCTGCCAACTTTAAGTGTATCTATCCCAATTATGCATCCTGGGAGTGGGGAAATAACTACAGGATAAGTTTGGGGACTCACTGACTGGACCTACTGTGAGTTGGACTTCAGCCAAAACTCCAGTAATAACTTGGCCTCTAGGTGTCCCTACTTTAGCTGGGGAGGGGGGTTACAGTGTTTCATGGGATCTCTTGGAACCAGCATTACTTCTAAACCAGTATCCAACAGACCCTGGAGAGTCTGATCGGTTCCTTTCCTGCAGGGTGCAGTTATCCTTGTAAAAGGCTGTAGGTTCCTCCCAGGAAGGACTGAAGAAAGGATAATAGCAAAACTTTTAGGTAGCCGGGCGGTGGTGGTACACGCCTTTAATCCCAGCACTCGGGAGGCAGAGGCAGGCGGATCTTTGTGCGTTTGAGGCCAGGCTGGACCGATAGCCTCCGAAACAATACAGAGAAACCCTGTCTCGTAAAAAAAAAAAAAAAAAAAAAAACTTTTAGGTATTTTATCCAGGTCCTTTCTCAGGGGAACCTGGCCACCCCTTCATCCAAGTTACTCTAGGTCTGCAAAGTGGCTCCGATTTGGAAATTGATTCACAGGCTGAGATTCCCTTTTGCCAACATCCAATGTAACCTTTCATTTGTTGAGATTTTTTTCTTATACAGATCAAATTCTGTAGGCTTCTTATCTGGTTAGTGCCTAGAATCACCGTGATTCATTAACTAGTGTCAAAGGTTCATACAAGCCACCATAAAATTCGGCACAGTGGTTCTCAACCTGTGGGTCACAACTCCTTTGGGAATTGAATGACCCTTCCACAGGGATCACATGTCAGATATCCTGCGTATCAGATATTTACATTATGATTCATAACAGTAACAAAATTACACTTATGAAGTAGCATCAGAACTTATGCTTGGGAATCTGCACAACACAAGGAACTATATTAAAGGGTCATAGCATTAGGAAGGTTGAGAACCACTGGGTAAGGCCATTATGAACATTGTTTTGTCTACACTGCCCATTATGATAATTGCGATCACCTTGCCTTTGGTGATTCAATGCTGCCACCTGGCCTCTGCTACCTCGGGGCCTGGTTAACCCCATTGCATTTAATTCATCCAATTGAACAGCAGCATCTAAACCCATAAGGTCTGGTACACGGAAAAGGGTGGCAACAAAGCTCTGCACGTGTGTGTGTTGTGTGTTGTGTGTGTGTGTGTGTGTGTGTGGTGTGTGCGTGTGTGTGTGCGTGTGTGTGTGCGCGTGTGTGTCTGTGTGTGTGTCTGTGTGTGTGCGTGTATGTGTGCGCGTGTGTGTGTGTGTGTGTGTGTGTGTGTGCGTGTGTGTGTGTGAGTGTGTGTGTGTGTGCGTGTGTGTGTGTGGTGTGTGCGTGTGTGTGTGCGTGTGTGTGTGCGCGTGTGTGTCTGTGTGTGTGTCTGTGTGTGTGCGTGTATGTGTGCGCGTGTGTGTGTGTGTGTGTGTGTGTGTGTGTGTGTGTGTGTGTGTATGTGTGTGTGTGTGTGTGTGTGTGTGTGTGTGTGTGTGTGTGTGTGTGTGTGTGCGTGTGTGTGTGTGTGTGCGTGTGTGTGTGTGTGTGCGTGTGTGTGTGTGTGTGCGTGTGTGTGTGCGCGTGTGTGTGTGCGCGTGTGTGTCTGTGTGTGTGTCTGTGTGTGTGCGTGTATGTGTGCGCGTGTGTGTGTGTGTGTGTGTGTGTGTGTGTGTGTGTGTGTGTGTGTGTGTGTCTAAGGTTAGCGAAGGGCATGCCTTTGGGGCCTTCCCATTGTGGAAGATCAGGTTTCACACGGTGTATCACTCTAGCATTTCAGTTTCCTACAGCCTTAAAATCCCCTGGCAATAATACTAACACTTTTATGTCTTAAAGACTTTAAACCATCTTGGAGAAAAGTAAATGAGCACCTAAAAGTTTAAAATAGGGGACTGGAGAGTTGACTCAACCTGCTCTTCCACAGGACCCAGGTTCAGTTCCCAGCACCCACATGGGCAACTCACAACTCTTTAATCCAATTCCAAAGGGACCAGACACCCTCAGGCAGACATACATGCAGGCAAAACACCAATGCGCACAAATAAAAATAATTTTTAAAAATAGAAAATGTAGTGGATTGTGGATTTCCAAACTCATGTGTGTTCACCTGTTACCACATTGATAACATTAAAGAATTTATTTCTTGGAAGCCAAAGCAAAATAACTTTCAAAAAGTTTAAAATAAAAGGGATCCAGGAATCTGGGGTGGGGGTTAAGGGTAGGAGCTGAGGTGGATGTGGGAGGGATGTGGTGGTAAGGGCACAAGCCATAAAATTGCTGAATGGAAATCACAGTGCCAGTGGTGGGAGACTTCTTTTTAAATTGTCACTGATTCAAAAAAGGACACAGAATATGCAGCTATTACCAACGGTGCTGTTTGCATTCCCCAAATTCTACAGGCAAGACCCTGTTGGTGATGACACACTCAGCTATCGCACATGGGAAGTGGAGCTGAGAAAGAGCTGGAAGTCTGCCTCCTCGCTGACAGGCCTGTACAGTGCAGACAGATGCCATGTGGTCTAAGGGAAAGAATTGTTGGCAGCAGTGCTCCTCAGTGTACACCCGGTGTGCTATTACACCAACATGTGCCCCCTAGAACAGCGGTGTCATGATTGCCACCTATGGAACAAACTGCATTGAAAACTCCATCTAAGCCAGGTGGTGGGGGTACACACCTTTAATCCCAGCACTTGGGAGGCAGAGGCCAGCCTGGTCTACAGAGTGAGTTCCAGGACAGCCAAGGCTACACAGAGAAACCCTGTCTCAAAAAGACAGGCAGGCAGGCAGGCAGACAGACAGACAGACAGAGATAAATAGATCTCCATCTATAGGAAAGAACTCACAGTGCTGTAAGTGAGGCAAGCCTATCCGTGGCTTGGAAGGCAATAGGTTCCGGCGAGGAAGCTTGTGTAAAAATGAAATGCCTGTCAAATGGCCTTCTGCAAACTGCTGTTTATAACTAGAAATAACAGGTTTCTACCTCTGTCGTGCAGCGAAACTTCCTTGTGATGAGAAGTCAAGCTCTTGAGAAGTGACTGCTGTTGTGGCCTAGCATCCTGACTCTTAGCTGTACCCTGATTATGAGCCGGCATGAAGGAAAATAATAAAGGTATCTGTGTCCCCATCTCCAACATTACACTCTGATCAGTGAACATCAGAGGAGGAGAAGCAGAAGAATACAAGAGCCTAGCTGGGTGTCGTGGTGCACACCCTTAACCCTAGTACTCAGGAGGCAGAGGCGGGAGGATCACTGTGAGTTCGAGGCCAGCCTGGTCTACACAGGGCAGCCAGAGCTTGAGAGTCCCTGTCTTGAAGAAAACAAAGAGTGAGCATGTGAGAGGCCTGGAGCCTTGTGTGGCTATTTCCTGCAAACTGAAATCTTTCTCCCTGGGCAGGGGAAGGAGACTCCCGAGAATGATTCGCATGAACCTTACAAGGCCCAGGAAAGTCAGAAAGTTACCGAGCTCAGGGAAGGAAGATCCGGGCTCTGAGAAGCCCGCGAGCTGCGGAAGCAGCAGCAGGATGCAGCTCTCCTGAACCACCATCCCTCCTGGGGTGGGCTCTGCAGTGATGCAGGTGAATTTGCATCACCTGTGCTCCTGTAATCACCACAGGAAGTTCCTGGGTTCACCGAGGTAGACTTGGGTGGGGTTGTTTTGGTTTCCTCTCTACACCCTATCTGGTTTGAATGGAAGTTTGTAATATCTTCCCAGGAAGCAACCACCCAATTACTGACATCAGCCTCTGTGTCCTACCATGGTGGACCTCATGATGTCCAAGTGGGGTCAACATCCTCTCCTCATTCTGCTGTTAACCACCCTCTCCACCCATCTCCAAAGCCACTAGAGCAGTGGTTCTCAACCCTCCTAATGCTGCAACCTTGTAATACAGTTCCTCATGCTGTGGTGACCCCAGCCATAAAATTATGTCCGTTGCTACTTCATAACCGTAATTTTGCTACTTTTATGGTCATAATGTAAATATCTGGTATGCAGGATATCTAATTTGTGACTCCTGTGAAAAGGTCATTCGACCCCCAAAAGGGGTCAAGACCTACAAGTTGAACTGCTATACTAAAGCCTCTTATAGTAACTAAAACCCCACAAACCTAGTGTGGATCAGTAGCTTGAACAGTGTTTACTGGAGACATACGAGTTCCGCTGGCATCTGAAATGAGGGCTGTCTTGGCAGACTGGGAACTCGAACCCCTGGAGTGAGAACTATGCACAGGTAGTGTGATGTTTCGGTGAAGCTGTGAGACATTAACTTGTCTCAAAGGTGGAGTACTAGTTACAGGTGGGAAAACAGCAGACAATAGGTGACAGAAAAACAATGGGTCTGTGCAAAGTCTGAGTTTGGTCTCCTGTGCGTAATATATGTGGTGGTTTGAAAAGAATGACCCCTATAAGCTCACATATTTGAATGCTTAGACCAGGAAGTGACACTATTTGAAAAGATTTGAAGAATCAAGAGGTATGGCCTTGTTTGAGGAAGTGTCACTAGCGGTAGGCTAGGTTTCAAAAGCGCATGCCAAGCCCAGTCTCTCTCTCTCTCTCTCTCTCTCTCTCTCTCTCTCTCTCTCTCTCTCTCTCTCTCTCTCTCTCTCTCTCTCTTTTTCTCCCTGGGGATCAAGATATAAAACTCTTATCTGTCTTCTATCCAGCACCATGTCTGCTCCCAGCCATGCTGATAATGGAGTAACCTCTGAAACTGTGAACAAGCCCATGATTAAATACTTTCTTTTATAAGAATTGCTTTGGAGCCGGGCGTTGGTGGCGCACGCCTTTAATCCCAGCACTTGGGAGGCAGAGACAGGTGGATCTCTGTGAGTTCGAGGCCAGCCTGGTCTACAGAGCGAGTTCCCGGACAGCCTCCAAAACAATACAGAGAAACCCTGTCTCGGAAAAAAAAAAAAAGAATTGCTTTGGCCATAGTGTTTCTTCACAGCAATAGGACAGTGACTATGACAATACATAACACTAACACTCTACTTCTGGAGTCATTCCCACATCAAGCCACTCACCTCATCATTGGATATTGATATGTTGTAGAATATTAACTAGGCAATGATGTGTTACATTTTTTTGTGGTGCAGAATGAATATGACTTTAACTGTGTAAAGGTGTGTTACTTTTGTTTATGCTGCATTTGTTTAATTATGTAAAGATGTCTTGCATCTGTTTTACCTTTCCTGCCTAAGTCATCTGATTGATCTAATAAAAAGCTGAATGGTCAATAGCTAGGCAGAAAAAAGGGACAGGTGGGGCTTGCAGGGAGAGAGAATAAATAGGAGAAATCTAGGCTCAGAAGGAGGAGGAAGAATGAGGAAGAAGGAGAGGAAGAAAGAGAAAACAGCCAAACAGAAAAGCAGTGAAAGTAGGATATAGAGAAATAAGAAAGGTAATAATCCCTGAGGTAAAAAAGGTAGTTAAAGAGAAACCGGTATTTAAGTTAAAAGAGCTAGCCAGACATGTGCCTAAGTTAGGCTGAGTATTCAAAACTAATAATTCATCTCTGTCATGATTTGGGAGCTGGTTGGTGACCTAAAAGAAAAAGCCTGGTACATTGACACTCATCAGTTTCAACCTTATGCGAGTACAAAGTTTGCCCTCTGCATTGTGTTTTCCTTCCAGCAACGACCAAAGCTTTGGCAATCAGGCATCTACTTCCATGTCCCATTGTTAAAGACGACGCAAGGGGCTCGTTCTGGTGGCACACGCCTTTAATCACAGCATTCAGGAGACGGAGACAGGTGGATCTCTATGAGATGGAGACCTTCATGAGCCATACAACACAAACTAAATAAACTTGTAAACACGACCTGATCTATAATTAAAATAAATGTATCTCGCTTAGCAGTAAAAAAAAAAATCCATTGGCTCTTCTAAAAGCAATTTAAACATAGCTCAACCTTAAAAGGACACTGTATCTATCAGGTTCCTCTAGAGAAATGGAATTAAGTCAGCTTTTAAAGTAGCAACAACAGCAGAATGGCCAGAGAGCTGGGAACTTGGTCATTCCCAGGTCTTTAAAACTGAAGCCACAGCACTCAGGGGCGGTGGGTAGGTGGAGGGTCAGTGGGTGGGTGGGTGGATGGGCTTCCCCAGTCCCAATCTGGAGAAAGGAGCCTAGAAGCTTCCTGGATCACCGTGTTTCCCTAGCCACAATGAAAGTTTGGAAACATTAGGTCTGATATCCATGAAGTAAGCGTCAATAGCAACAGGGCAAAAGAGCTAGGTGGCAAAAGGGATAGACAAGTGAGCAAAACAGCAAGATGCTCTCGTTCTGCCGTACCCTTTTTTATCTGGACCAGCAGGTGCCGCCTATGAGCAGGGCGGGTCTTCCCACGTCAATCAAGAAAATCAGAACAGTTCTTCCCGTGAAGGTGCCCACCCAGGTATTTCTATTGTGTGGCAAGTTAATATTAAAACCAACCATCACAGACATACAGGTAAGTAGTTCTAGAAAATAATCACCAAAGAGAAAAAAAATAAAGATAACAAAACAGAAACACTACAAAATCGACAGAAATACCCATTAAAGGGGTTAGTCAATGGCACAGTGGGAAAAGCACTTTGCAGAATGAGGCCCTAAGTTTGAATCATTAACACTCATATAAAGTTGGGAATGACTTCAACCATGCCCATACACCCATCACTGTGGGGAGTGGACAGGGGTGAACCTGCTGGGTTTTGCCTGCTGCCAGATTAGCTCATGGTAAGCCCCTGGTACAGTAAGAGACACTTTCCAAAGAGAATAAGTCAGAGAGCCATAAAGCAGGTCACCCGTTGTTATTACTACTCCAGCCTCAGTATGAACATGGACACACATACACATGTGTGTCCATTCATGAGCACAAACACATAAACGTTACAACGCATGGTCTTACATAACATACACACATTTTAAAATGGCTTTTGTTCATGAAAAAAAAAGTACAGACAAAGAGGCTGGAAGCAGGCATATGAAAGCAGTGCAAAAATTCCAGTATTCTCAAAAAGTCATTTTTAATTAACCCTAATTGCTTGAAAAGGGGGCACTTATGCATATTGGCATGTTACAAGTTAATGTTAGTTCATCACATGAATCTGACACAATTTACAATGCAAGTGCAAACAGGCACCTGATTTGATGCAAAACTAAACTAAAGATAGCTGCTTTAAGAACCCTTACAAAACCATTTCATGATAGTGTACTTTCTTTCTACAGCTGTTTGGTTTTGTCTTTCAAATGTGGGCCCTACTGGTCTTCATCCCATGGGTGTAAGCTGTCATCCTGTCTCATGAACTTGGCTTATGCTTATTTCATAAACCAAAATTCAGAAATAAAAGCCCAGAATTTGCCACTGGGTTGGAAAGATTGCTCAATGGTTAAGAACACTGACTGTGCTTACAAAGGACTTGTACTCAGTTCCCAGTATCTAGATGACTGCTCACAACCATATGTAACTCCAGTTCGAGAGCTTCCAAGGCCCTCTTCATGGTAGCACAGGCACTACACACATGTGGCACATATTCATACATGCAGGCAAAACACTCATACACATGAAATAATATACATAATCCTAAATTCTTTTGGTCTCTATTAAGGTTATTCTATGGTTGGTTCTTTCATGTCTATGGTAGTAATGGGAGGGTTTCCAAAATCGCCTACATACAAATGGTTTCCATTTATGCCTATTGGTAATTTGCCTGCATGTATGTCTGTGTACCACAAGCATGCAGGGGCCACTGAAGTCAGAAGAGGACACTGGATCACTTGGAACTGGCATTAGATACAGTTGTAGGCTTCCATGTGGTTGCTGGGAATCAAACCTAGGACCTCTAGAAGAGCAGCCAGTGCTTTTAACCTCTGAGCCATCTTTCTAGTCCCCTCTAGCTGACTTACACGTATTTGGGGGAAACCAGAGAAGAAGTGGCAAATGTACATAAGGTTTCTCTGTAGTCTAAACTTTGTCATGTCCTGTCCTTGATATGGGACTAGAAAAAAGATATAAACAACACCTGCATTCATAGGGCTTTTCTCTAGTGTGAATTTGTTCATGAACTTGAAGAAAACTTTTAGTACAAAAACCATTTCCATGGTATTTTTTTAAAGGGGTTCCCCTCCATTGTGCTTGTTTCAAGATTGTTTCTTTTTGTTTGTTTGTTTTGGTTTTTTTTGTTTTGGTGGGTTTTTTTTAGAAATCAGTATGGGGGATGGATATGTAAATAAGAGTGCTTCTAAAATAAATTTTAAAATGCTAAAAAAAAAAAGGAATCAGTATGATAGAAGCTTTCACATGTTGGTAACAAAAAAAAGCCCCACTTTTCTTCAAGGTGAGTTTATTTGTGGTGAAAACAACCCAACTATTTAGAAAGTGTAAATATTGCTTACAAACCTAGGGATTTAAGTCAGCGAGAATGACTATCTTCATAAAAGATACTAAGCAAAGGCTTTCCCATAGTTTACATGCACAGGGTTTCTACTCAGTGCTGGGTTCTTTCGTGCTTTTTAAGGTGACTGAGAGATCTAAAGCCTTTCCCACATGTCCTACATTCATGGGGCTTCTTTCCACTGTGCATCAATGCATGGTACTGCAGAGAGCTCAAATGAGTGAAGGCTTTCCCGCACCGCTTACATACACACGGTTTCTCTCCAGTGTGAATCATTTTATGTTTCCGCAAAGCACTCTCAGAACCCAAAACTTTCTCACACTGTGAACACACATACGGCTTTTCTCCACTGTGTATCTTTTCATGACTTCGAAAGGTAGTAGAACAGATAAATCCCTTCCCACATTGTTTGCACATATAGGGTTTGACACCACTGTGATTTATTTCATGTCTTCTTAATTGACTCAAAGACAAGAAGGCTTCTGCACACTGCTTACACACATAGGGCTTCTCACCAGTGTGAATTCTTTCATGTATTTGTAGGGAACCAAGACGAGTGAAGGCTTTCCCACATTGCTTACAAACATAGGGATTCACACCACTGTGAATTACTTTATGTTTCTGAAATTGAGTCCAAAGCATGAAGGCATTCCCACACTCCTTACATACATAAGGTTTTTCCCCAGTGTGAGTTCGTTCGTGGACTTGAAGATAAGTAGAAGTAATGAAACCTTTTCCACATTGCTTACATACAAAGGGTTTCTCTCCGGTGTGAATTCTGGTATGTCTTTGAAGGGAAGCAGACCGAGAAAAACTTTTGCCACACTGATTACATGCATGGGGCTTCTCGCCCGTGTGGATTATTTTATGCCTTGAAAGAGAATTGAAACGAGTGAAGGTTTTCCCACACAGTTGACACTCATGGGAACTTGTGCCACTGTGAACTTTTTCATGTCTCAGAAGAGAACTGGAATGAGCAAAGGTTTTTCCACATTGCTTACATCTATAGGGCTTCTCGCCAGTGTGGATCCTTTCATGTACTTGTAGGGAACAGGGAAAAGGGAAGGCTTTCCCACACTGCTTACATTCGAAGGATTTCTTTGCATGGTAATGTTTGTCGTGCCCCTTCAAGGACCCAAGAGAAGAAAAGGTTTTCCCGCACTGCTTACATTCATGGCAGTTTTCTTTACCAGGAGTACTTTCATGATTTTGGCCAAGTCTTAAGTCTTCATTAGACTGTTTATTTTTATTCGATTTCTCCGCAGTGTCGGAACTTGTATGCTCCTGCAAAGATGGGGGAGAGCTGGAAGTGTTCTCAAATTCCTTATTAGTATGCAACTCTGGTTCATGTTCCTGGACTTCATTTGATTTCTGCCCTGGCCTAGGTTTCAGCTGCACACTTAGTGCTAAATGGCCAATGACTACATTTACAAACCCATTTCTTTTACAGATGTGTACTCCTGGATAAAATGTATGGTTCACAGTGCCCTCTGTAGAGAAGTTAAAGATTTCTGCGCACTCATGGTCTTCTTTACAGTCATGGAGTTTCTCCACCAGTTGGCATCTGTAAGAAATGAAATGTGAACTGCTAAGGGTTTGATTATTAACAATTTACCAGTAGGAATACTGGTTCTGTGTATCATAAGAATTTTGAACATGTTTTGACTGAATGCCATGCAGCATGTTCTAAGGATAGCTATAATAAAAGCAGTGGTATAGTAAATACAATGAGAAGTTATATTGTTTCCATGTTTGGAAAACATTGAATTTATATGTCACATTTAAATACACATTCCAATACTGAACATTGTGCACAATTTGATGAATAATACTGATGATGAAAATCATGTTGCATTTTGAACTACTTGAATGTTGTGGTAGTTTAAATGAAAATAGTTCCCATAGGCTCACGGGGAGTAGTATTATTAGTGGAGTAGGTGTGGCCATGTTGGAGGAAGTGTATCACTGGGGATGGGTTTTGAGGTTTCAGATGCTCAATCCAGGCCCCGTGTGTCACCCTCTCTTTCTACTGCCTGTGGATCCAGATGTAGAACTTCCAGCTCCTTCTCCAGCACCATGTCTGCCTGCATGCTGCCATACTTCCCATCATGACAATAATGGATTAAATCTCTGAACCTGTAAGCCAGACCCAATTAAATGTTTTTCTTTATAAGTTGCTGTGGTTATGGTGTCTCTTCACAGCAATCGAAACCCTAAGACAAATGTCTATATTGTTATCTTTTGGTTTCACTTATTTATTTGGTTGGTTTTTTTGTTTATTTATTTATTTACTTATTTTGAGACAGGCTTTCTCTGTGTAACAGTCCTGGCTGTCCTGGAACTCACTTATAGTCCAGGCTGGCTTTGAACTCACAGAGATTTGCCTGCTTCTGTTTCTCAAGTGCTGGGATTAAAGGCGTGGCTCCACATCCAACTATGTATTATCTCAACAATTAGTTCCAGTCTAAAAGAGTAATATTTTTGCTGCATGTGCACCTCACACCCAAGATTGCAGACAAACTGATATTTCATTTTCCATAATGTATATGATGTAAAGTTTGTACATGTCAAGTATGATAAAGCTCATTCCTGGCATCATGATACTCCAGTTGTTTCCAATGCTTGAATATCTGAGATGTTCTTACTGATGCTATGAAACATATTAGCAGTTTTGGTGACAATTTTTTTGCGATGTAGTTGTATCTTTTACCTCTTTGTAATATGTCCTATGGCATCATAAACTCTGAGAAACTTGAATTACCTTAGTTTTCTCCCAGAATTTTGATACTCATTTTCAATCTTTTGGTGTTTCCTTATGTTTCCTAAAATATAGATCAAGATGAATCCTTATGAGTCATGATATTACAGCAAAACCATTAACAGAATCCAACTAAATTCATTATATAAAGTAGCCCCACATCACAAATTCACTTCCTCCTCCCACCCCTTTTCAGGGCAGAGTGGGAACACAGTTTCCCACTGCCACAAATCATACTGCCAACTTTTCCACATTTGAGGAAATGGCAGGAGTCAGCACATGACAAATGGAAAGGATGAGCCTTATTCTGGGAAAGCCACCTTCCTGATTGTGGTGTCTTCCCTGACAGGTAAGTATCCCCAAATGTTTCTTTACCATATTTCAGTTCATGTAGCAGCAATGATGAACTAGAAGCCCTTTGTTGGTTTGACCCATTATGAGAATGATGATGTCTTTACCTATAGAGATCACGTTTCTCAGTATTTCCTTCATCACATCTTTGTAGAGCTCCTTTTGGGATGGATCCAGCATAGCCCACTCCTCCATGGTGAAGTGCACAGCCACATCCTCAAAGGTCACCGACTCCTAAAAGCACACACATATATTTCCACAAGGATGAACCTCACAGTGCCAGCTATCTAGATCTCATAAGAAGTTATTGTGATACTATGTTCCATATACGTTCAAGTTGTCTTGGTGACCACACTCTTACTGCTCACACATGCTAAGATTCTCTAATAGAGTGATTGTGACAGTAGATTGGAGCAGTTGAGTAAAGAACAGCAGAGTAGGGCCACCTTTGCCCTCGTAAGTTGTGCTAACTTCTCTTTGTCCACTGGGTCACTGTGACAACTTTTATAAGAAATTCTGGTTATCTAATGTCCTAAGGAAAATTCAATATTAGCTGTCCTAAGACTACATAGTCTTGCAGATACTGAAAAAAATCCATTTCCCTTGGTATCTGGGACCCCTGATTAAGAGGGACTCATCGTTATATAGCTATAAAATGATATGGTTTTCCTAAACAGTTGATGGCAACCATATGCGACTTTCATACTTTCATATCACTGTTTTCTCTCAGAATCCGTATCACATGTTCATGTGATAATCGACAGAAACTATTTGGTTAGACGTGGTATATTTTCTGAATGATGAATCTTTAAGAAGCTGGTTCAGTGGTGTGGTGTTATGAACAAGATTGGTCCCCATTGGCTCATATATTTGAACACTTAGTCATTAGGGAATGGCTTGAGAAAAATTAGAATGATTGGGAGGTGTGGCCTTGTTAGAGTAGGTGTGGCCTTGTTGGAAGAAATGTGTTCTGGGGTGGACTTGAGGTTTCAAAAAACCCCTGCCAGTCCCAGCCCCAGCCCCACCCCTTCCCTTTCTCTGCCTCTCTCCCTCCCCCATGCCCCCCCCAGTCGGCCAATCAGGATGTAGCATTCAGCTACTGCTTCAACTCCATGTGTGCAACCATGCTCCCTACCAAGATGAAAAGAAACAAAACTTCTGAAACTGGAAGCAAACCCCCCACTACATGTTTTCTTTTACAAGAACTGCCGTGGTCATGGTGTTTCTTCACAGAACTAGATCGGTGACTATGACAATTGGATAGTGTTTGATCACACTTCTCACAACTTGTTAGGGACTTGAATATATCCTCTGTCATTCACCGTAAACAACATTTAGAAGTGTCTATCTGGGGCTGGAGAGATGGCTCAGTGGTTAAGAGCACTGACTATTCTTCCAGAGGTCCTGAGTTAAATTCCCAGCACCCACTGGTGGCTCACAACCATCCATAATGAGATCTGGTGCCCTCTTCTGGCCTGCAAATATGCGTGCAGGCAGAACACTGTACACAATAAATAAATAAATCTTTAAAAAGAAAAAAAGACCTGTGATAAAAGGCCAGAGAGATGACTCAGCAGTTAAGATTACTGGCTGCTCTTCCAGGGGACCTGAGTTTGATACCAGCATCCACAACGAAGCTCACAGCTTTGCAACTCTGGTTTCAGGGAGCCGGACCCTCTCTTCTGGTCTCTGCAGGCACCAGGCACACACATGGGTATAAACTCAGGCAAAACAACCATATACATAAAATAAAACAAAATAACCACTTTAACTTTTTTTTAAAGACCTGATGGTGCACGCTGATTTTCAACTTGACAGAATCAATACTCTTGCTATGTACACCTGGGATTATCTTGATTACACTTTAGGCAGAAGGATTTACCCTGTATGTGGGATGATCAGCAGCCACTGGGCTGGGGACAGTGAGTTTGGAGGACAGAGTTAGCCAAGCATTGGAATTTATTGCCATCTGCTTCCTGACTGCTGATACAATGTGAGCAATTGCCTCCAATTCTTGTCAGACATCCCCCAACAGGATAGACTACCACCTTGAACTAAATCCAAAATAAATTCCTGCTCTCTTAAATTCCCATCTCCAGAATTTTGTCACATAGAAGCATATAAACAAATAGCAGTAGCCAGTTATAATGAATAATCTGAAGTAAACTCATTCCTGTCTGCTGCACCTGGGAAGGGCACAAAAGCGTATTCTTTTTTTTTTTTTTTTTTTTTTTTTTTTGGTTTTCCGAGACAGGGTTTCTCTGTATTGTTTTGCAGGCTGTCGGTCCAGCCTGGCCTCAAACTCACAGAGATCCGCCTGCCTCTGCCTCCCGAGTGCTGGGATTAAATTAAATGCATGCGCTACCACCGCCCGGCCACAAAAGCATATTCTAAGAACAATTTTGTAGTTTTGAAGAAACTGAGGTCACAAGACTTGCTTTCTTGGAGTTTTCTCACAAACTTTCAGAAATCTCACAAACTGCATTCTAGAAGAGTGTTCTGAAAACAACCCCTGTAATTCCAGTTCCAGGGGACCTAATGCCATCTTCTAGAGTCCATGGGCACCTGCATTCACAAGTGCACACTTCCACTAGTAAGTTAAAATAAAATACATCTTTAAAAACAAGAGTTATTTTTTTAAGAAAAAAGTGTTTTCTAAATTCTGTAAGACAAAAAGGAATCACCAAGTTAAAAAAAGGTATTTAAAGTTACAGCAATATGATATCATTTTGGAAGAAGATTGCTAAAGCAAAAAGGGGCTGCTGGTGGCTGGTGGTGGCTCACACCTTTAATCGCAGCACTGGAGAGGCAGAAGCAGGCAGATATCTTGAGTTCGAGGCCAGCCTGGGCCACAGAGCGAGCTCCAGGACAGTCAGGGATACACAGAGAAACCCTGTCTCAAATACTTATATATATAAATAAGTAAATACAGTCTTAAAATTTCAGGGAGTGTTTACCCACACAAGAACAAACCTGACTGATATTCTTAGCTCTTGGAAATGATATATTGATCTGGACACACCGGCTACTCAGAGAAACCCAGAATAAGGCTTTCTGAATTCCCACATTTATTTATTTATTTATTTATTTATTTATTTATTTATTTTGGTTTTTCGAGACAGGGTTTCTCTGTGGCTTTGGAGGCTGTCCTAGAACTTGCTTGGTAGTCCAGGCTGGTCTCGAACTCACAGAGATCCGTCTGCCTCCCAAGTGCTGGGATTAAAAGCGTGCGCCACCAACGCCCGGCAATTCCCACATTTAGACTTAACAGTTAACACTTGAACTGGTTGAGACACAAAGTACATACCTAGGCAGATTATCCTTACGTTTGTCTCCTTCCGCTAGGCATGTGATCATTGACCACTGCTCTCCTGAGCCAGCACATAGCAGTCTTTGACTGTAACCCTGAAGACAGGCTGACCTCAGAGAAAACTAGGAGCTGACTGTGGCACCTCTAGCACACCAGGCTCTCCTCTGTTGTGTGCACTCTTGTTTAAGAGCAGCCCGACTGTAGGGAAGCTTGAGGGCCCAGCACTTAGGACTTTCCCCTCTCACAACACTTCATTCACACACCGTCAGGGTTTACTTCTATCAAGACTCTGCATTTGCAAACAATATTTAGAAACAAACCAAATACAATAACAATTATGATAGAGGCCAGCCCCATCCACCTCACGCATGTAGATCTTCCTTTTCACACGCCTGGCAATGTTAAGAGGACTTGGGATTCACTGTGAGTCCTAAGAACCCTTGGCCTATGGGCACAGGTCAGGGAATTTGGAGGAAGGATTCTCTTGAATCTGTGTCCCGCTTAGCTTTAACTGTCAGCTTGACACAGTCTACAGTTATCTGAGAAGAGACTCTCAACTGAGAAATTATCTGAATCAAATTAGTATGTGGGCCTCTCTGTGGAGGATTGTCTGGACTCATTGTACGGCCCAGCCTACTGTGAAAGGCAGCTTCCCTAGGCTGATGGTCCTGGGCCGTCCAAAGAAGCTAGTGATGCCTGAGTTTATTAATGAGCCAGCCACTAGCATTCCTCCATGATTTCTGCTTCAAGTTCTTGCTTGAGTCTCTCCTTGAAATTCCTCCAGTGATGGACTATGACCTGGAAGGATAAACCAAATAAAGCCTTCCCTCCCCTATGCTGCTTCTGGCCCGAGTATTTATTCCAGCAACAGAGTGAAACCAGAGCTGTGAAAGGCTCCTGGGAAAAGCAGATGCCCCGAGATAGAAGAGACACAGGATGATGAAGATGATGGCTGCTCCCAACTAATTTATGCTGTAGGCATCGAATCTGACCTGATTTCTGGAATTTTAAGCAAAAGACCCCAGAAAGGGCAAACAGCCACCATCTGCCAGCACACCGGTAGGAACAAAGTCACTGCATCAATAAACAACTCCTGAAAACATACTGCATTTTATCAAAAACACCAGACACACGGGCTTATCAACAACACTGTATGCAACCCCCTCATCTGAGTCCACAGAAGGAGCACCCTAACACCAAAGTGTGCATGACAGAGATAACAGGGCCAGCTGTCAGGAGCCGGGAAACAACCACAGGCAAGGACCCTTGCCTTTGTCCTCGGTTTCAGCGCTGTATCTCCTGCACGATTGACTGATGAGATTTATTCGTCCCCAACAGAGCTTTCTTTGTCCCCGCATGAGCCCAATGCTGGGACTTCAGAAAAGTCTTGTGGGCTCCCAAGTCTTTCTAATACTTAGCCAGTCCGCAACCTGTACATTGGTTTCTCTTTGTGTGAAATGTTACTATGTGATTTAATATGAGTGAATAAAAGAGCTGTGATTGCCCAGGGTCTGCGAGTAAGCAAAACCGCAGCCGAGGAAAAAAAATTTATTGGTTATTTAATAAACCGTGACAGTTTAGAAAGACACAACATGTCTCTGTATGTTTGTGACATAACACACACAGGACTCGGGGTACCAACACCTCTACTCTCCTCCGGTGTACAATCTCCCAACCAGCAAACCTAGTTTCCACCGTGCTCCGCCAACACCGCCCAGTCTGCAGCTGCGCCCGCGGCACTGAGCGCTCAGCATGGGACAGGATAGCGGCTCTGGCTGCTGGCCCAGCTCCACCCAGAAGGATCCCGGCTCCAAGGCTCATCCGAGACAGACTAGACTCATCCGCACCCCACTCCCACACCCAGCCGCACGAACCATTTCCAGCGACACGGTGGCCTGGTATCTATCCTCTTGTGGTTCCTGCTGTCAGTGGAGGGGAGGCCAAAGGGGATGGGAAAAACTGGAGAATCCCTCCACAGTCGTAAGGCCCCAGATCCCAAATAATGGCAGGGACCAAAAGGGACGTCTCAGTGATATGTAGCAGCCATCTTCCTAATGCCTGGTTTCTCACTGGATATGCATGCCGAAACAACTTGCCTGGTTGGCCATCAAGCCACAGACCCGCCTTCTAAAAGCTTAAGTGACAGCAGGAGCACACCCACCTAGCAGAGTCTCAAATTAGGAATTCTAGGCACAAGTCTGCCCTGCCAGCCCAGATCCACTCTGGCTCCACTAGAAGAAAAGAACATAACATAAGCACAGCCTCCCCTGGCTTTCCTCTCCCGGGGAATTAACTCAGCGAACAATTCTTGCTTCTCCCTTTTCTGAGGGGGCTACTAATGTGCTCAGGGAATTCCAGACTCTGCATCTATGGGAACAACCCATTTCATCATAGAAGTCAAAAGGTCTTGTTGGAATAAGAGAAAGAAAGAAGACTGATACTATCATACTTTAGGAATTGAATGACACAAATTTCTCTGCCTACCCATATTCAGCAACACAGAAAACATATATGCAAAGGAACACATTTATTGAAGGCATAGAGAAAGAGGCCAAACATACTAGCAAAGTTCCCATACTTTAACAGTGACCAAGAGTTTAGCCTGACCCAATGACTTTTGATGTCTTCTATAAGCACACTATTACCTGACTCCAAATAGCCTGTCTTGAGAGATAACAGGTGCACAATTCAGCCCATCTCCTCAGATATCTGTGAGAGTCAAATTCAAGAGGGACACTGAGTCAGATTGCTCCAGGTGGCTGTCACAGAACTTGAGGTCATGGTCTATCTGAAGCCAGGTTCAGGCACCCAACCTTGTGAAGACAGTTAAAACATGCAAATTATAGTAAACGCAGGGAAAGGGAGATTTCTGCAATGCGGCTACACTGGGAAGAGGGACAAGAGGATCCAGGGACTGCCCATCAGTCCATCTTGGGATTATTAAACTGAGTGGAAGTTTAAACAGAGGGCAACAGCACATTAAGCAGTCCAGGACGCAGCATGATCCCACCCATCACTGAACTGTCATCATCTCTGGGAGGTGCCAATCTTTTTCTTGGAGCAGAGAAGCATTTTTGGAAAGAAGAGCTCCAGCTCTGGCTGGTCTGGGCTTTTCTTCTCCCAGCACAAGATTCCTAGAGAAATTCCAATTTCTTGGGGGGGAGGTTGTTTGTGTTGTTTTTGAGACCACGTTTTCTTTGTGTATGTGTGTGTGTGTGTGTGTGTGTGTGTGTGTGTGTGTGTGTGTGTAGCTTTGGAGCCTGTCCTGGAACTTGCTCTGAAGAGCAGGGTGGCCTTGAACTCAAGATCTACCTGTCCCACCCTCCAGAGTGCTGAGATTAAAGGCTGGGGTTCACCATTTTAATACTGTTAAAGCTAAAGCATCTCTTTAGAAAATATTCTTTTCTGCCAGGTTAGCGACAGGGACAAAAGATTTAACGTCAAACAGAACAGCGGGACCTGAAAGGAAATAACTTGGGACTACTCAGAAAGAGCAAAGATCTCTATATTAAGGCTTTGGGTAAAGAAGAGGTGGCCTTGTACTTGAGGGAACGAGTCTCCTTAATGTGTGACTTAGAGGACACGAGGGAAGTAAGGGATTTGTCATTCAAAGTCCTTGTTGGTCTAGTATCTGCCTGAGGAGCTTGGTAATTTCTTTTGTGGGGGTGTTAGGTTTGGGCTAGGGGTTAATCAGACCACATTCTCTTGCAGTATTTCAGGAGTTGGCAAGCTCCTTACTGAGAATATGTCTGTGACTCTGACTGGTTCTCTGGTACTCAAAGCCTAGGAAGGAAGTGCTAAGTCAAGTCCTAGAGACAAAGCAGCTATACACACACACACACACACACACACACACACACACACGTTCTCTGAGGTACCTGATGCTGCAAGGGGTAGTTTAACAGCTAAGCTGGGTCTGTAACTGAGCTCCCTAAGTGTCAGGATTAGAGAATGACAGGCCAAGGAACTTAGAGACAGGCCACATCATACTCTCTCTAGCACTAAAGCTTGTGGTCTCAATGAACAATCTTTGTTTCAGCATTAAGGGTAGAGAGAGGCAGCTGCAGAGGGGGGTGACCTCAGCGATATCTAGCCATATCTAACACTGTGGACCTTACACAAATGTCTGTGAGATGACTAAATGCCCACTCAGTTGCTATGAAAGACTTCTGCCGGGGGTTGGGGATTTAGCTCAGTGGTAGAGCACTTGCCTAGGAGGCACAAGTGCAAGGCCCTGGGTTCCCTCCTCCTCGGGGAGTCGGGGGAGAGACAAAATAGAGGAGATGGTTCAGCAGTTAAGAGCACTGTCTGTCTTTCCAGAGGACCTGAGTTCAATTCCCAGCACCCACATGGCAGATTACAACTGTCTGTAACTCCAAGATCTGACACCTCACACAGACACACATGCAGGCAAAACACCAACGCACATAAAATAAAGTAAAATAAAATAACTAACTAAAAGATTTCTACTCAGGACTCTTGGGAGGCAGAGGCAGGCAGATCTCTGGTGAGTTCCAAGCCAACCTGGTCAACAGAGTGAGTTCCAGGACAGCCAGGTCTCTTATACAAAGAAACCCTGCCTCGAAAAACAAAACAAACAAACAAAAAACAAACAAACAAGACTTTTTATCTCTTTCAGCAATGTGTGAGGGCAAAAAAATACAACTCTCACTCCAAAGGGGAGAAGAGGTAATTTATTCTGGAGCTGAGTGACCATGACCTGCAAATACACTCGTGTCACTCCAGCAGCAAGTCCCAGTGTGGCAACAGTATCGCCATGTTGTACAGTCACAAGCCAAAGTCAGTCCAGAGACTTGAAGTAGACTGCTGGAAACGTTGCATAGGTTACAGAAAACGGGGATATTTCTACTGCATGGTTCAGACTGCCTGACCACATGCTTAACCTTCCGGTTGGTGGAAGCAAGTAGTGGACTAAATTAATATCCTTAAGAAGATTTTACCTGATAGCCACAAGGACATTAGGTCCGGCACGGAAGTGGACAAAACGGTTGAAGACAGCCAAAAGTGAATTATAATTAAGCTTTGGACCTGCAACATTCCAACCTCCCCATCACTGAAGCTCTAATCACCTTTAGAGAACAAAGTTGTGTGGCTTCTTTTCTTCTTTTGAATTGACAAAAAAAAAAATATTTTTGAGGCAGGATCTCCCTCTACAGTCCTCACTGGCCTGCACTTGCTATGTAGAGTAGGTCGGCCTCTAATTCAGAGAGCCACTTACCAGTGCCTCCACAATGATGGGATTAAAGACATTCACTACCAGACCCCGAAAATTACATATAGTGTGTGTATGTGTTTCTGTATGTGGGTATGTGCACGTGTGTGGGTATCTGCAGAGGCCCAAAGGGGGTATCAAATCCCCTGGAGCTGGAGTTACAGTTGTTTGTGAGCAAACTGTTGTGGGTGCTGGGATCTGAACTTGGCTCCTCTGAAAGAGCAGAAAGTGTTCTTAACCACTGAGCCGTCTGTCCAGCTCCAAAGTGCAAGGTTTCCTTCCTTCCTTCCTTCCTTCCTTCCTTCCTTCCTTCCTTCCTTCCTTCCTTCTTTCCTCCCTCCCTCCCTCCCTCCCTTCCTTTCTTTCTTTCTTCCTTCCTTCCTCACATTCTTTCTCTTTCCTTTTTTTTTTTTGAGGTGTGTGGGGGGTGGCTGTTCTTCACAAATGCAATGAAATCAGCAAGCCTGCTGTGACTGCAACATTACATACTTAAAACATTTTCAAAACACGAAAGGCATTTCTACTTCTGCCTTTTTTGTAAGTTCCTTTGTAGGCTGTGTGCCCCTGGCCGGTCAGCACCTTTGGCAGAATTATAAGGTGCCCGCACTGAAAGATGGATCAAGAGGAAGCAAAGGAAACGTTTGAACACACTCAGATAAGCAGGAGTTCAAGACCACACCAGTCTCCACACTCAGATAAGCAGGCTGCTGGAGTTCAAGATCACACCATTCTCCATACTCAGAGAAGCAAGCTGCTGGAGTTCAAGACCACACCAGTCTCCACACTCAGATAAGCAGGAGTTCAAGACCACACCAGTCTCCATACTCAGATAAGCAGGAGTTCAAGATCACACCATTCTCCACACTCAGATAAGCAGGCTGCTGGAGTTCAAGATCACACCATTCTCCAGTCCAAGCGCCCCACTTCACATTGAAATTGAGCGCCAGAGCAGATCACTGGAGAACGGCCACAGACACTTAAGAAGGTAACTGGCAGGAGGGGGGGGGAGCATGTAGTCCTCTGCCATGCACAACCCAGACTTGAAACCGTGGCTACTCAAATCTTCAACTTTGCCAAAGGGACATTTTTCCATAGGTCACCTTAAGACTTTCACCTAGCCGGGCGTTGGTGGCGCACGCCTTTAATCCCAGCACTTGGGAGGCAGAGGCAGGCGGATCTCTGTGAGTTCGAGGCCAGCCTGGTCTACAAGAGCTAGTTCCAGGACAGCCTCCAAAGCCACAGAGAAACCCTGTCTCGAAAAAACAAAAAAACAAAACAAAAAAGACTTTCACCTAAATGGTCACTCAGAGGAACACTTTATTCAAGGAACTACCTATCCTAAAAGAGTTTTTCTTTAAGTCTGATCTTCACAGACTTTTCCTCACGCACGTAAGTTACAGATGACCCCCCTGACTCAGCCCTTAAACCTGTTACCGCCTTTGCAGGGCCCGAAGCTCCGCCTACCTCTGACCTCCAGCTTGCTTCATTTGCCTGATGCTCTGCAGCTCCTCACGATCTGAACTTCTTGGGTTAACAGTTCTGATCAGCGGGAAGCCGCATGCTTCCAGGAGGTAGCTGAGCAAGAAATGCCAGGGAACACTTCATTGCCGCCCCACTGATGGGTCACAGTGTGACACCCACTCTGGATTGAGGGGCCTCGGTCCTCTGCCCACTGCTCGGTGACCTGCTTCGCGCCAACATGGGTCATGAAACAAGGATGCTGACTCAAAATCTTTTAGTTAAATGCTAGGATGCTCCCGCATTCCACTTCTACTTATGAAATAGAGAAAGCGCTAAGACACTTCATATGGATCTAAAAATGAGGCAGAAGCCTATTGTTTGGCAATGTAAAGACGGTAGCTGTTTCTAGGTAAACACGCCTACTTGGTAGTGGAAGATAACCTTGAACTCCTTGATTGTCTTAATCCTCTTGCCTCCGCTCCTGGGTCTGTCATTTCTGCAGTCACGCTTAACAATCCAGATAAAGTGTCATTAGGTAGCTCTGGGTCCCTGAAGACACACCTGCAAAATTCCATGGAGCAGTTCTAGGACGACACCTCCTGACAAGCAGTGGTCCACCTGGAAGGTGTAGCCGGGAGGGCTGTGTAGGCATCACAGCCACTAGTGTAAGGAACCTGTTGTGTGAAACAGAATTCTTGAAGCAAGGGGGAAGCAAGATTTGAAAGGCAGTCTGGGAGATGAAGGCATTGTTCAGGGTCAGTGCAGAAGCAGGGGACAGGCAAGAGCCTCCTGAAACAAGCAGGTGACAGGATAGGGGGGCCTGCTGGAGGGGGACAAGATAGTCACCAGGCCATTAGATCTTGACGGCTCTCTTATATTGATAGTGGATGATGGAAGAGGAGTTTGGGGCCAGAAATAAACCGAAGAGTACCTACCTTCTGGCACAGGGTGATAGTGAATCTTCATTAGTTTGAGTGCATACAGAATCACCATAAAAACACACCTCTTGGTCTATGAAGGGCGTTTCCAGGGAGACCCACCCAGAAGATGGGTGGAACCATTTCAAGCACTGGGATTCAGGGTGAGGGCTGGGTGCATGAGATGAGCACCAATCTGACTATAGAGGTCAACCAGTTGTTTCATTTCTATCCACACAGCTAAGGCTGCTCTTCTCACCATATTTTCCCTTCCATGAGGGACTCCATGCCTTCTTAAATCTTGATTGAAAATACAGGCTTCCTTCCTTAAATTGCTTTAGTTTTATCTTTTTTTTTTTTTTTTTTGACTTTCCATACAGGGTTCCTTTGCATGGCACTGGCTGTCCTGGAACTCTATAAACCAAACTGGCCTTGAACTCTACAAGCCAGCAGCTTGTATGTTTTAGAATATATAGACTCTAATGCCTGACAGTGGTGGCACATGCCTTTAATCCCAGCACTTGGGAGGCATAGAGTCAAGCGGACCTCTGTGAGTTTGATGCCAGTCTGGTCTACAGAGTGAGTTCAAGATCAGACTCCAAAGCTACAGAGAAACCCTGTCTCACAAACACCAAAAAACAAAACAAAAGAATATACAGACTTTAGATTTTAGCAAGAGAGAGATGAAAGTATAAGACTATTTGGAGCCAGATGTGGTGGCCCACATCTTTAATCCCAGCACTTGGAAGACAGAGGTGGGCAGATCTATGAGTTCAAGAACAGCCTGGTCTACAGACTGGGGTCCAGGACAACCAGGGCTATACAAAGAAACCCTGTCTTTTTGGGATTAAAAAATCTATTTGGGAGGAGATGAGATCATTGGGCAGAGAAAAGAGGAAAATAGATAAAAAATGGGCAAAAAGAGTCAAAGTACCTAGTATACATGTGTCAAAATATGACAAAACCCATTACTTTGCACAATAATATATACCATTTTTAAGGAAGAAATAATATGCAGAAGAAATTACTTTCCCCAATCTGGACCTAATGTAAACATTCTGAAAATGACTAATCTAAGGTTTAATGTTCACTAGATTGAGTATAATTTCTTTCTATATTTACCCCTTCCTATGGGTTTATCAGAACATAACCAAATGGGTAATTGGAAACATTTATATTTGTGAAGAGCAGGAAACAGTAAATTGGAGGAAACACTGTAGTGTTGGTGTAGTAACTCAGAAAAGTAAAAACTGGACCAGGATAATGGTGTTCAAAGTAAAGTCAAATCTGCTGCTATGAAGGCATGAGTACCAGACATATACCACTAGGCACTTCTCCTTAATAACTATGACGAAAGAAAAGGACACTCTATAAGGTTGGCTGTAAAACTGACAAAACATACAACATTCTGAATTATGAAAATGAACAAAGCACCCTCTCTTCACTAATGTGAGTAGTAACTCTCATGAACTCAAAGGCCCTTCACTGCATTATTTGAGGCCTTCCACATAACAACTCCTATGACTGCCAAATACAGAATTATACTCACATCTCAGTACATCCAACACAGAGGCACCTCACTATATATAACCAACCCCACAAATCCCTGGAAGTTAAACATCAATCCTGCCAGAATGTCTATGGAATGTTATTACTGGTGAAACATATTTGCTTCCTGTATATAGACAGATTTAGTACAATTTATTACATGGTACTCAGAGTCTTTGGCAAGAGGCGCTGATGCCAACATATCTCTTAGTATAATGACTGGAGGAGAAATTACAATAAAAACCCATGATACAACAATATAAGCATCATTTATGTGAGGAAAAATCATTAATTATATATGTACAATAAAAATGGCTTGTGACATGAAAAAAAACTAGGAAAGCTTGTAAATGTGATGTGATCTATGATTATAGAGTGACATTTATGCCTACCTAAGTAGACTAAGAATGGACACTTGTTAATCTACAACTGGTTTGAAAATAGTTTAAAGGACATAGAGACCAGAAATGTTAGGAAAAAACACCAGGCAGAGAGAAAGTTAAGAAATAAAAACATGGAAGACAATGACAGTCTACAAAAAAAATGGTTAAGAACTTGTCATATGAACTAAAAGGGAAAATCTCAATAATCACAAAGTCATTTTTCCATGATACATTAATCTGAAGGGCTTGAAAACAAGATCTTTTTTTATGTCTTCTGGAATTACAAGTAACTATCAACTCATCAGCAAATGTACAGAAATTAAAAATAAAAGGAAAAAAACCTGATTCAATGCAAAAACAGATTTCACCAATTAAACTTGTATGCACTATTGCTTTAAGAAACCTTAACAAATTAATGTAATGATAGTGCACCTTTTTTCTTTTCTTTTTGGCTTCCATCTCCTGCACTTGAACAATTCTCCACTTCACATATTCTGTTTAAAGATAATTTTCTAGGAGCTGGAGAAATGGCTCAGTGGCTAAGAGTGTGCAATAGTCTTGCAGAGAACTGGATTCAGTTCCCAGCACCCACAGGGGGCAGCTCATGACTGCCTATAATTGCAGCCCTAGATTATCTGATGCCTCCTTCTGGTCTCTGCAAGGCACTACAAGAATGTGCACTAATTCACACAGACACATGCATGTGCATATACTTTAAAAAATAAAGAGATAATATTTTTTAATACTTTAAAAAATAAAGAGATAATTTTTTTTAGAGCAAAAATGTGAAGCATGGAGACCAAAAGGATTCTTTTAAGAATGAACTACTGGGCTGGGCAGTGGTGGCGCATGCCTTTAATCCCAGCACTCGGGAGGCAGAGGCAGGCGGATCTCTGTGAGTTCGAGGACGGGCTGGACGGATAGCCTCCAAAACAATACAGAGAAACCCTGTCTCGTAAAAACCAAAAAAAAAAAAAAAAAGAATGAACTACTGATGCTGGATGTGGGTGCAGACATCATTCACCCAAACATTTAAAGGTTGGGACAGGAAGACAATTGGATCAAGGCCAGACTGGCTTACATGGCAAGACTATTTCTGAAAAACAGAAACAAATCCCTAATAAATTCCAATAAAGACAATGTATTTACAAAGTTTTCTTCAGATTTTGGATTTTCTAAAACAAACAAAAATTTGTATCCAGTCTTCCATGTTATTGACATTTATGGAAATGAACATATGAGAAATCTCCAAAGTACTGTGCCACTCTTTGCTACTACTGAGTTTCTCGTGCTTGACAAGAAAAGATTTTCACTGGGGAAGCAATTGCACATGTGTCCACATTTGGACATCTCTTCTAGTCAAACATACAAACATGTTTTTTTCTTTTTTTCTTGAAACAGTCTTACTATCCAGCCCTGGATGGCTGAGAAACCAGTATATAGACCAGGCTGGCCTTGAACTCTGAGACTCCCTGCCTCTGCCTCTCAAGTTTTGGGACTAAAGATATGCTACGGCATGCCTGGCTCAAACATGTTCTTTCTTAATCCATGAATAGGACCAAAGGGTGTTCCACAAGCTTAACCTTTATAGTTCTCTCTGAATGCAGTCTTAGGTTATGAAGTCTTTTCAAGTTCTGTATTCAAGGTTACGGTCTGGTGAGTTCTTCTATGTCTGTGGAAAGAACTATAGTAACTGAAGGCTTTCCCACATTCTGTACACACAAAGGGTTTCTCTCCAGTGTGGCTTCTTTCATGTGATTTGACATAACGAAAAGAACGGAAGGGTTTCCCACACTGCGAACATATGAAGGGTTTCTCTCCAGTGTGGATTCTTTCATGTATTTTGAGGTAACTAGGGGAACGAAAGGCTTTTCCACATTGCACACATGCATAAGGCTTCACTGTAGTGTGAGCTTTCTCATGTCTTCTCCATGATATGCGACTACAGAAGGCTTTCCCGCATTGCTTGCATAAATAGGGCTTTTCTCCAGTGTGAGTCTGTTTATGACTGTGAAAGGTACTGAACCAACTGAAGCTTTTCCCACATTGCTTACAAACGTAGGGATTCATGCCACTGTGAATGACTTCATGTCTTCTTAAATGATACAAAGAAAAGAAGGCTTTTCCACATTGCTTACATATATAGGGTTTCTCTCCAGTGTGTGTTCGTTCATGTATTTGAACCTGACGAGAAGACCTGAAGGCTTTCCCACATTGTTTACATAGATAGGGCTTCTCTCCAGTATGGATCAATTCATGGTATTGAAGGGAACCGAGAAAAGTAAAAGCTTTCCCACATTCCTTGCACACATAAGGTTTTTCTCCAGTGTGAGTTCGTTTATGAATCTGAACTTGTTTAGGAGATCTGAAGGTTTTTCCGCACTGCTTACATACATAGGGTTTCTCTCCGCTATGCATCAATTCATGGTATTTAACTGAACTGTGACTGGTAAAGGCTTTACCACATTGCTTACATACACATTCGCCAGAATGAATGATTTTATGTGTCCGAAAAGCACTTTCACAGCTGAAAACTTTCTCACATTGCAAACACACGAAGAGTTGCTCTCCTGTGTGGGTCCGTTCATGTTTTCGGAAGGCACCGGAAGAAGCAAAAGCCTTACCACATTTTGTGCATTTGTAGGGTTTCTCTCCACTGTGCATCATTTCATGGAATCGAAGTGAGCTACGATCAGTGAAGGCCTTCCCACACTGCTTACACACATAGGGCTTTTCTCCAGTGTGAATTCTCTCGTGTGTTAGAAGGGAACTGGAACGGGCAAAGGTTTTCCCACACTGTTTACACATATAGGGCTTCTCACCAGTGTGAATTCTTTCATGTATTTGTAGGGAACTAGGAAAAGGGAAGGCTTTCCCACACTGCTTACAAACGTAAGACTTTTCTCGGCTGTGATATTCTTCATGCCTTCTAAAAGAACTGGAAGAAGTAAATACTTTCCCACATTGCTTACACTCGTACTGTTTTTCTCCAGTAGAAGTCTTGTCTTTGTTTTGAGCAGATATGAGACACCTAACATTTTCATTACAGTGACTAGTTTCAGGTTTCTCCCCAGTGTGAATTCTTTTGTGCTTCTGAAAGATTGTGGAAGAACTGGAGGTACCCCCAAATTCCTTATGTTTATATAACTCTTTTCCATATTCCTGAGTGCCATAGGGTTTGTGTCCTGGGTGAGGATGTGGAGGGACATTTAGAGATAAATGGCCAATAACCACTTCTCCATACACATGGCTTTCATATGTGGGAACTCCTGGACATGATTTCTGGTTCACAACATGCTCTGGAATCCAGTTAAAGATTTCTGCACACTGACGACCTTCTGTATACTCACAGAGTCTCTCCAGCAACTGGCTACTGCAAAAAATAAAAGTGCATTATTAAAAATTGTTTATTAAAGCTTATCACAATAAGTGTTAGTCATAGACCCTGTAATGATTTTTTTAATGTCTGAATTGAATGTTCTACAATACGGTTTAAGGACATCGACAATTAAAACAGAGGTATCCATGTGTAGTTGTGTTAACACTGTTTTCATTACAAGCAAATGCTGAATCTCTATTTAAATGCATTTTCAATACTAGTACATTTTTGATGTACCAGTGACTAAAATAATGTTGGATTCTGACATACTTGTATATCATTTATGAGTTATCTTGACAATTTGTCCTATTCTAAAAAGAAATTTTATTTTTATTTCATATAGAATGCATAATCAATGTTTGGAGATAAATCAGTACATTTTAAATAATATTATGTACAGAGTAGAGATAATATATATGAACCATGATAAAGTATGACTTGTGGCATCATGATGCTCCAGCTGTTACTAATACTCGGATGTTCTGATTGCTGAAGGTTAATGTGTAAGCAGATTTGGAGGAGATTTGCTGAAATGAAAGCCATATGGAGCTGGATTTATTTGTATCTATCACTTGCTAGCACACCAAGAGTCCTGAGGAACACTGCTGTCTCTTAGAGTACAAATTACCTTAGTTTTCTCCAGAGATTTTCATACTCATGTTCAATGTTTTGGTGTTCCCAATTGTTTCCTAAAATACAGACCAAGAAAAATGAATTACTGCTATAGGGGAAAAAAGATTCTAGCTAAAGTAAAAATTATCCCACCTGAAATATTCACCCACAGTGTTCCTTTTGCACAATCTAATTCATGCAGTAGGAATGATGAGCAAAAAAACACTTATTCTTTCATTGACTAAGCAAGAAAATAATGTCATCTTTACCTATAGAGGCCAGGTTCCTCAAGGTTTCCTGCATCACATCTTTGTAGAGGTCCTTTTGAAATGGATCCAGCATAGCCCACTCCTCCAGGGTGAAGTTCACAGCCACATCCTCAAAGGTCACCGACTCCTAAAAAGAACACACATATATTTCCAGGAGAAAAGGTGAGCCTTCCAGTACTGGAGATCTAGGCTTACTTCATAAGAACTTGATATGATGCTATGTTCCACATGTATTCAAGTCATGTCCTTATTCCTACATACAGTTTCATATTGTATGCTGATTTTTCAAAGAGCAATTCTAACCAGATTGGAGATACTTGGTAAAGCAAAAGCAGAATGAGACTACCCCTGTGCTGAAAATTCTACTGCACAGATCCTCCTAAATTTTTTATAGAACTTTTGATTACTTAATACCCACAAGAGAGTCAATACTGACTGTTGTGAGACTACATAATCTTATGCATACTAAAGAAAATGTTCTGCCTTTCCTGTGGTATGGAAACTGTTACTGGGAAGGATTCCTCTTCAATCCAACTCTAAAGAATGGTATGGCTTTTCCAAACAGTTGAAGCCAACCATATGCTACATTTATTTACTTATTTATTTATTATTTTATACAGTGTTCTGCCTGCATGTTTGCCTGCAGGGCATCAGATTTCATTATAGATAGTTGTGAGTTGCCATGTGGTTGCTGGGAATTGTACTCAGGACCTCTGGAAGAGCAGTCAGTGCTCTTAACCTCCGAGCCATCTCTCCAGCCCTCATATGCTCCTTTTATAACTTCAGTGTCTTTGCAATATTTTTGTATGGTCATCAGGAATTACTAAGCGGGCTTAGTGGATACAATTGAATCTATTGTCACAACTTGTTAGGGACCTCAGTATATCCTCAGTGAATGCACTAAAAACTATTTAGAAGCATGTCCTAGTTTTTTTTTATAGATCATTCTTAATTTCAAAATTAAAAGCTGGGCACGGTGGTGAATACCTTTAATTTCAGCACTTTTAGCACTTGGGAGGCAGAGACAGGTGTATTTCTGTTCAAGGCCAGCATAGTCTATATAGTGAGTTCCAGCTAGAGCTACAGAGTGAGACCCTGTCTCAAAACAAGCAAACAAATAAAGATAAAATAAACTAAAGATAAACTAAGTAAAAATCGAATGAACTCATTAAAGCGAGTCCACAGTATTAGTAAACAAAAGAAACTGGAGGCCATACCAATAAAGCCATACTTGCGTACAGAGGCAAAATATGCTTTTCTAAAAATAATCTTGTCAAAGACAATAAATATATTGTGCTTAGTGCAAAAATGGTAAAAATTATGAATAACTTTCAGTTTTTAGTACTTCCTTCTCACCATAAATCCACCTTACAGCTTTGCTTGTAAAAGAAATGTCTGTAAACTGTCACCATTGCTGTAAACTGGATTTGTTTAGGAATGTTTGAGTGGGGTGGAGGGCGGGTGGGAGGAAGAAGAAATAGCTCAACAGTCAAGGACACTTGCTGGCCTTGCAGAGGGTCCAACACCCACATCAGACAGCTCAGAAGCACTCCTGTTCCGGGGATCTCTCTGGCCTCCATGGACATCACGCACATACAGACGAGCAAACACACACAAGTACACACAAATAAATAAAATTTAAAAAGAGGTGAGCCGCGGCAATCATGAACTCTCAGGAGAGAAACACTTGTATCTATCTGTATACCCACTGATGAGCCCACCAAAATAAGATGGTTATTTCCAAATTCAGAATCACCCGCATGGCCTCCATTAAACTCTGTGGGACAGTAAACAAATAAAAAATAATGCCTATGGACAAGAGATTTGCAAGGAAGAAACAGAGAGGGCAGGATGAAAAGGATTAAGAGACAGTGTGGGGGAGAATAGCCAGAATATATCATTTATATGTGTGAAATTGTCCAAGATCAAATGTATTAATAAGATGGAGGGGGTAAGAGTTTAACATGAAACTTCAAAGCACCAAAATTCTACATATACCACTCTGAAGGCAATGAATTGACATTCTCCTTTGAGATCTGTATCTAGAGTTAGCCATGTCTTATTCCTTCTCTGGAGTCTTTTTTTTTTTTCTAATAAGCCCTCTGATCTATTTTTAAAATGTCTCTTAAAACATCTCAAACTGAGTATCATGGTGCATGCCATTAACCCCAGCACTTGGGAGTCACAGCCAGGTGGATCTTGGTGAGCTCAAGGCCAGTCTGGTGAACACAGCCAAGTTCTAGAACAACCAGGGTTACAGGGAGAGACCCTATCATAATAAACAAACAAACAAATAAAAAATAAATTTCCAACTTTGATCCACACTGGCTCACTCTTGTTTCTCTTTGTTAAAAAAAAAAAAGAAAGAATCATTTCATGTATGGACTGGAGAGATGCACTTGCCACAGAAGCCTGCTAACCCGAATTCAATCTCCAGAATCCACGTTCGAAAAAAAACAAGTGAATCTCCCAAACTAGACTCTGACTTTTTAAGTGTGTGTGTGTGTGTGATGTGGTGCATGTATATATGTGAACATGTATATGTCAATGCACTTGCCCCATACATGCATGTACACAGACAAGAAGCTGTCCTGGAGTATTTTCCCCTATTACTGTCCACATTTTTCAGATGGGGTTTCTCCCTAAACCTAGCACTAGTTCCATCTAGAGTGGTAAGCCAGCAAGCATCCTATGGTCTCTCCACCACTGCCTATCTTATCTACCCTCCTACCACCCTCCACACCACCCACCAGCCCTGGGGTTAGAACCGTGCCTGAGTTTCTGGTGATCCGAGCTCAGGTTCTATGTATGTGAGCGCTTTACCCACCGAGCCATGCCCAGTCTTAAAGCTGTTTTACTGGGGGCGGGGGAGAGATGCCTTCTAAAATCTATAAAAATAAGACTTAAAAACGAACCACAAAGTTTAAAAAAAAGTCTTATAAAAGTTGTAGATAGATATAGGGCTGGGGCGACAGCTGAGTGATTAAGAGCATTGGTACTCTTTCAGAGCGCTCAAGTTCAATTCCCAGCACCCATGTCAGGCAGCTCACAACCGCCCTACCTCAGCTCTCAGAGACCTAACACCCTCCCCTCCGCTGGCTTCCTCAGGCACCTGCATACATGTGTGCATATGCACAGAGACATACACACATACATATAAATAAAAATACATCTTTAAAAAATGATTTATTAGAGTAAAACTTTAGGTGGGCAGTGGTGGCGCGTGCCTGTAGTCCCTGCATTCAGGAGGCGGAGGCAGCCAGATCTCTGTGTCTGGAGTCCAGCCTGGTCTACAAAGCAAGTTCCAGGTCAGCCAAAGTGGTTACATATAAAAGTTTAAAGAAAGCAGACGTACATATGATTAGGTTTACTATAATTAAAGTCTACTTCCTAATTCCACCGGGTCAGAATGATAGCTGCTTATTGCCTCCGTCAATCTGCTCCACACACCACACAAAAAAAACCTACAAAAGAATACAGGAGTACTTACATACTTCAACTTCACTTTATAATTTTACTTTTAGCTGGGTCATGGTGACGCATGCTTTTGTTCCCAGGATATGGAAGGCAGAGACAGATGAATCTCTGTGAGTTCTAGTACAGCCTGATCCACAGAACTAGTTCTAGAACAGCTAAGGCTACACAGAAAAACCCTGTCTCAAAACAAAATTTCAAATTTAGGATTCTCAACAATAGATAAACTAAAGCCTCAAAGCCCAGTGATCACAGACACAAGAACAAAAAGAAACAATATTTCTCCATCCACTTGGTGAGACCAGCAGTTAAGCAATTCCAGGATCCCATTTGGGGAAAGGCACCCTAACTAGTTACATTAAGACAAGGATCGCATGCCCAAGGACATCTGATGTCATATGAAAATGAACAGCAGGTGTATAATTTGTCAGAAGAACAGTCCTAAGACTGATACTCATGAAAAAAAGAAAAGAAAAAGGATTTAAAACCAAGATGGAGAGATGGCTCCATTAAGTTAGCTAGGAGTGGTGGTACACACTTTTAATTCCGGCACTCTGGATGCAGAGGCAGGAGGATTTCTGTGAGTTCAGGGTCAGCCTGGTTGGTTTACATTGGGAGTTCTAGGACTGCCAGAACTACAAAAAGAGACTCTGCCTTAAAGGAAAAAAAAGGAAGGAAGGAAGGAAGGAAGGAAGGAAGGAAGGAAGGAAGGAAGGAAGGAAGGAAGGAAGAAGGGAAGGAAAAGGGAGGGAAGGAAGGAGGATCCAATACTGACTGAGTTTGGTTCCCAGTGCCTATGTCAGGCCTCTAACTCCAGGATCTGATACCTCTGGCCTCCCCAGGCACCTGTATTCGTGCACACACACACACACACACACACACACACTCCACTCTGTGGTCCTCTGCTGTGACTCCTCTGATCCACACATGCACAATGAATTTGAGTGTGAAACAAATGATTTATTAACCTGTCTCTTGGCTTCTGCAGGCCTCATCGTTTTAGCCACTCAGCTACAAACCACCTCAATTGCTATCACCTCCTTAATCACAAAAGAAAATTCTAGAATGCTTAAGTAAACCAACATTTTATTTAAAAAAAAATCTGCAATGAGGGAAGAAACCAGACAAAGCAGCCTGCTTTGCTCACAATTACAAAAAGAAACCCTCAATCAGAAAGTTAAATGCTAGGGCTGGAGATGGCTCAGTGATCAAGAGCATTGGCTGCTGACGACCCAGATTCAATTCCCAGCACCTCCAAGGCAACTCCACCCTAGGGGGCCGATGCCTTCTTCTAGACTCTGCAGGCACCAGCCACACACGTGGTACACAGACACAGGCAGGCAAAATTCCCAAATCCGTTAATAATAAAAAAAGTTAAATAGTAAGCTTATTAAATACATGCTCGTCCACCAACAGAAATTGAGACCTTGCCTGAAAGGGGCGTATGAGACACAAATAAGACACTCTGATTGGGCTAAAGAGGAGTGTCTCTTGTGGGGAGTTAAAAACGTGGTGCATAAGAACTCCGAGAGTTCTTGAGGTTCTGTGCCAAACTACAAGACAAAGACCCCACACTCCATCACACTGCACACGCATATGAGCCACCCCGGCCTGGGCCAGCAGACACCAATTCCTGATTCTAACCCTAAAGACTCGGAGGAACTCAGAGAACAACTTTTCTCCAGTAGCCGACTGTGGAACCCTCCGTTCCCCCAGGCTCTCCTACCTTCCATTTGCTCCTGCATGTCCTTATGTGCCAGTTTTTAACTCCCCACAAGAGACACTCCCTTTAGCCCAACCGTCCGGAAGCTTGTGGACCTTGCACAAAGGGCTTCATCCTATTGCAATTCTCCACTCACACACAGTCACAGCCCAACCCAATGAGGATTCTTCATGTTAAAACAATGTTTAGAGAGGCTGGAGAGACGACTCAGAGACTGGCTGCTCTTTCAAAGGGCCTGAGTTCAACTCCCAGCAACCACATGGTGGCTCACACCATCTATAATGAGATCTGGTGGCCTCTTCAGGAGGGCAGGCATACATGCTGGCAGAACGCTGTATACATAATAAATAAAATCTTAAAAAACAAAAACCAATGTTTAGAAACAACCCAAGACCAATAACAGTTATGGTAGGAATCCATCCAAGCCCCTATGCACACAGATCTGTGAATTTTCCTTTCTGTCGAGTCTGGCAGAAGGACTTGGAAAGCTGGGCATTTGTTTCGAGTTAGGAGAATCCTTTGGCCAAGGACAGAGGTCATGGAGTTTAGAGAAAGGTGAGACTCACAGGAAAAACAGATACCACTGAAATGAAAGAGACAGGGTACAGAAAACAGGGTGAGGCCTAATGGGGATGTTTGTCTTATTGGTTGATGAATAAAATACTGATTGGCCAGGCAGGATGATAGGTAGGACTAGGAGACAAGGAGGATTCTGGGAAGTATAGGCAGAGAGGAGTCGTCATGAGATCCCAAGAAGTGATGTAGCTTGGCAGAAACTGCCACTAGCTAACCATAGAGGTCTGGAGGTCTGTACAGATAGACAGGAAGTGATAAAGCTGGGCAGAATCAGAATATAAGCAGGGAATCCTTCTCTTCTCTTCTCTGCTGAGTAGATGCAATATAGACCCCAATGGAGTTAGAGGCCTTTTCCACCCGGTGAGATAAGACCACGTGGAAATACTTAGATGTATAGAAATGGGTTTACAATTAAGACAGAGCTAGCCAATAAGAAACCATAGCCAACGGCCAACAGTTTCATAACTAATATAGCATTTGTCTGTTCATTTGGGACTGATGCAGCTCTGGGACCAGGCTGGCGGGAAAGAGCACACGTTACAGGGGCTGCTCTGAGTTGGGGGGGGGGTCATCAGCTTTCTGGCTGCGCCAAGCAAAATAGGTGACAACTCTGCACTGGTTTATTCTGAGTACCAATGTCAGCAAAACACATAAGGTGCAAATTAATAACTTATCGCAATAATGACACCTGAAAATATATCAAATTATAGGCTACACCTAAACTAACAGGCCTATTGAATGATCATAGGATCAATGCCAAGTGACAGGAACTCTGTCACAGGGAAGGACGTGTCTCTGCTCCAGGACTCCAGATCCAGGGCAGTTTCTCCTGCCATGAGGACCTCAGCTGGCTTCTAGAAACACCCTGCGCTCTGGACATGCATGCAATGGGCATCTCCGAATCCTCACCGCTAAGTCTTCAGTTCTCTGCCTCCAACTTGAGGAGAACCTGTCATGTCTTCGGCCTCTTCAACCGTTTTCTAGACATTCAGAAACCTGCACATTCGTATACCACTGTGTGAAATGCTCATGTGTAACCTAACTGCCCGGTGACATTAGTGGTTAAGACTGATATAAAGAGAATCGTGGCTGCCCATGGCCAGCTCGCAAGAGTAATCAGGTGGACTCGTCAGACCGTGGCCAAACCGACAAAGGCTGTGAAGTGACTGGCTGTCGTGGAGACATAATGATACTCTGCTGCTCTGACAACGTGCACAGAACCCGGGATCACCACACCCCTCCTCACCCTCCGCCTCCCGGCTCCGCACACGAGCCCTAAACCGAGTGTCCCCTCGACTCCCCGCCTACTCCGCCCAGGCTGCAAAGAGGCGGGCGCCCGGGTCACCCGAGACGCTGCTGCAGCGCTGAGCGCTCAGCGAGGGACAGCACCGCGACTCTGCCTGCTGACCCAGCTCCACCCAGCGGAGCCAGAAAGGACTCAGCCGCCCCAGGAGGCCGCGTCCCCGGGGTCGCCTCCGCTTGCAGCAGCCTCCTCCTGACGCCCTGCCGCACGCACCATTTCCAGAGACCGGGACTTCTGATGTCCTCCTGAGACTCTTGCAGTCAGTGGAGAGGACGCAGATACCGAGGGGAGAGATCTGGGGGCCTCAGCCAGAGACACAGAACGACAATATGGCGGGGACACACAATGGCACCCCAAATGTTGTGCAGCCTCCGTCACCGAAGACCAAAACTCCTCATTGGACAGTTCGCACAGTCACCAAACGTTCTCCCTGATTGGCTAAAACCCCGCGGATCCGCCTCCTGGATCCTGAGTGACAGGGGAAGCATCTCCTAACCGGCAGGTTAAAGTCATTGAGATCCCCGCAGAAGACTTCACAGCCGCCCTGCTTCCCACTCTGGAGAGCACCTAGCCCCACCTGCGGAAAACGTGCGTTTAAAGCGCAGCTTAGCCGGGCTCTGCAGTGACTTGTTCAGTGGGAATGTCTGCCGCTTTCCCCTCAAAGGGAGGGTGCCGGGGTACTTAGAGAATCTCACAGTGTTTCTGGAGGCCACTCACGTCCTCAGAGAAGACTGCCAAAGGCAGTGCAGAAATCTCGGGAATGGCTTTCTTACAAGTAATTTCTCAATCTGTTTTCAAACAATGAATACGAACAAAATTGCAGGCAGGCAATGAAATATAACATTTGAATTTTAAATATGAATTATGAAATATCAATTATGGATCATTGATTATGAAAGTGGAATATTAAATATGAATTATAAATCATGGAATATGGGTTGTGGATTATGAATTATTAATTACGAAATATGAATCATGAGTTATGAAATATGACTTATAAATCATGAAAGATTAATTATGGGTTATAAACTATGAAATATGAATTATAAATGTGAATTATGAAATGTAAAATATGAATTCTTATTAAAAAATATGGGCAGAACCACCGGAGACCTGAGGACTGCACACAGCAGATCCGGATCCCACACCGACGGGATTCAGCCCTCCCAGACACTGCCAGCATCCACATCCCAGTCTCCACCCATGGGGCAGGGAAGGTGAGGCAAGCCTAACTTCCGGTGGCCTGAGCAGAACCACTGGAGACCTGAGGACTGTGCACAGCAGACCAGGATCCCAGGTGGTCGTGATTCAGCCCACCCAAAGACTGTCAGCTTCCAAGTCCCAGTCTCCACCCACTGGACAGGCGAGGTGAGGGTCCAGCCTACCTAGAGTTTACTAAGGTCCTGATACTAGGACAGACTCCATCCACGCAAGAGGAAAGCCACCAGGGTATTGGACCTGCTTCCACCCACTGGAAAGGGGTCACATACCCACCGGGGAGGAAGAGACTTCTTCTGCATGACGGGAAAGAGACAATACAAAAACATGCCCACCAACAGAAAAACCAATATGGCACCACCAGAAACTAGAGACTCTACACCTGCATGACCTGAACAGTCCATTGCAGAAGAAGCAGATGAGAAAGACCTAAAAAGCAACTTCATGGAAATGATAGAGGCCCTCAAAGAAGATATGAAAAAAATCCCTTAAAGACATGGAAGGAAAGACAAACCAAAAAGTATAAGAACTGGAAGAAATGAGGAAAAAACAATCCAAAAAATGCAAGAAATGGAAGAAAAGACAAAGCAAAAACTTCAACAAATGCAAGAAAGAGAGGAAAAAACAAAACAAAAATTACAAGAAACAATTCAAAAAGCACAAGGGTTGAAAGCTGAAATATATACAATTAAAAAACACAGTCTGAAGGAATGCTGGAAATAGAAATGCTGGGCAAATGGTCAGGTACTACAGATATGAGCATAACCAACAGAATACAAGAGATGGAAGACAGAATCTCAGGTGTCGAAGATACACTAGAGGAAATAAATTCATTGACCAAAGAAAATCTTAAGTCCAACAAATCTCTAACACAAAATTCCAGGAAATATGGGACACTGTAAAAAGACCAAACCTAAGAATAATAGTATAGAAGAAAGTGAAGAAATCCACCTCAAAGGAGAAGAAAACATATTTAACAAAACCATAGAAGAAAACTTTACCAACTTAAAGAAAGACATGCCAATGAAAGTACAAGAAGGCTACAGAGCACCAAATAGAGTAGACCACAAAAGGAAATCCCCTCACCACATAATAGTAAAAACCTCTAACATACAGAATAAAGAAAGAATATTAAGAGGAACAAAGGAAAAAGGCCAAGTAGCATACAAAGGCAAACCTATCAGAACCACACCTCACTTCTCCTTGGAAACTCTAAAAGCCAGAAGGTCCTTGATAGATATTCCACCAACACTAAGAGACTATGGATGCCAGCCCAGAATGCTATACCCAGAAAAGCTTTCAATCACCATAGGCGGAGAAAACAAGACATTCCATGACAAAACCAGATTTAAACAATACATATCCACTAACCCAGCCCTACAGAAAGATCTGGAAGGAAAACCCCAACCCAAGGGAGCTAATGACAATCAGAAAAACATAGGCAATAGATAATCCCACCTTACAAACAGCCAAAGGAAAAGAGGTGGAAATCCACATATAATTCCACCACCATCAACTATTCCAAAACAAACAAGAATGAGCAATCATTGGTCATTAATATCCCTCAATATTAATGGTCTTAACTCGCCCATAAAAAGGCACAGGTTAACAGACTGGATTCAACGACAGAACCCATCCTTCTGCTGCATACAAGAAACACACCTCAGCCTCAAAGACAGACATTACCTCAGAGGTAAGGGTTGGGTAAAGATGTTCCAATCAAATGGACCCAAGAAACAAGCAGGGGTAGTAATCCTAATATCTAACAAATTAGATTTCAAAATAAAATCAATCAAAAGAGATGAAGGAGGGCACTTCATACTCATCACAGGAAAAATACACCAAGAAGTCTGAATTTTGAACATCTATGCCCCAAATACAAAGGCACCCACATTCATAAAAGGAACATTACTAAAACTCAAATCACATATAAAAGTCCCACACACTTGTAGTGGACGACTTCAACACCCCACTCTCACTTCTAGACAGGACTACCAGACAGAAACTTAACAAAGAAGCATAGGAACTAATAGAAGTTATGACCCAATTGGGATTAACAGATATCTATAGAACATTCCACCCAAATAAAAAAGAATATACCTTCTTCTCAGTACCAGATGGAACCATCTCAAAAATCGACCACATGCTTTGGAACATATCAAATCTCAACAGGTACAAAAAAATGGAATAACTCCATGCACCTTATCAGACCACCATGCGTTAAAATTAGAATTCAACAACAAAACAAATAGCAGAAATCCTACAAAATCATGGAAGTTGAATAATGCACAATTGCACCATTCCTGGGTCAATGAAGAAATAAAAAGTGAAATTAAAGACTTCCTAGAATTCAATGAGAATGACAACACAACATACCCAAACTTATGGGACACTTTGAAAGCTGTGCTATGAGGGAAGTTCATAGCACTAAGTGCCCACATGAAGAAACTGGAGGATAGTTACAATAGAGAATTAAGAGCACAACTGAAAGCTCAAGAACACAAAGAAGCAAATTCACCCAGAAGGAGTAGATGCCAGAAAATAATCAAATTGAGGGCTAAAATCAATAAAGCAGAAACTAGGAAAACAATACAAAAAAGTCAATGTAACGAAGAGTTGGTTCTTTGAGAAAATCAACAAGATAGACAAACCTTTATCCAAACTTACCAAACGACAGTGTGAACATGCAAATTAACAAAATCAGAAACGAAAAGGGGGACATAACAATGGACACTGAGGAAATCCAGAGAATCATCAGGTCATACTTTGAAAACCTGTACTCCACACAATTTGAAAATCTAAAGGAAATGGACTATTTTCTGGATACATATCATTTGCCAAAATTAAATCAAGAACAGATAAGCAATTTAAATAGACCTATAACCCCTATGGAAATAGAAGCAGTCATCAAAAGTCTCCCAACTAAAAAAAGCCCAGGTCCAGATGGCCTCAGTGCAGAATTATACCAGAAATTCAAAGAAGAGCTTATACCAATTCTTCTCAAAGTATTTCATGCAATAGAAGTAGAAGGGTCTTTGCCAAACTCTTTCTATGAAGCTTTAATAACCTTGATATGCAAGCCACACAAAGACACAACTAAGAAAGAGAACTTCAGACAAATACCCCTCATGAACATTGGTGCAAAAATACAATGGAAAAAAGAAAGCATCTTCAACAATGGTGCTGGCATAACTGTATGCTGGCATGTAGAAGAATGAGGATAGATCCATGTCTATTGCCATGCACAAAACTTAAGTCCAAATGGATCAAAGACCTCAACATAAATACAGCCATACTGAACCTGTTAGAAGAAAAAGTGGGAGGCACCCTTGAGCGAATTGGTACAGGAGACAGCTTCCTGAATATAACTCCAGTAGTACAGACACTGAGATCGACAATTAATAAATGGGACCTCCTGAAACTGAGAAGCTTCTGTGAGGTAAAAGACACAGTCAGCAAGACAAATAGGCAACCCACAGATTGGGAATAGATATTCACTAACCCCACATCTGACAGAGGGCTGATCTCCAAAATTTACAAAGAACTCAAGAAAAAGTCTCCAAAACACCAAAGGATCCAATCAAAACGTGGGGTACAGAATTAGATAGAGATTCTCAGTAGATGAGTCTAAAATGGCTGAGAGACACTTAAGAAAGTGCTCAACATCCCTAGCCATCCGGGAAAAGCAAATCAAAACAACTCTTGAGATACCATCTCACTCCTGTCAGAATAGCTAAAATCAAAAGCACCAGTGACAGTTTATGCTGGAGAGGATGTGGAGAAAGGGGAACACTCCTCCACTGCTGGTGGGAGTGCCAACTCGTACACCCACTATGGAAATAATTATGTAGATTCCTCAGGAAAATGGGACTCAGTCTACCACAAGACCTAGCAATTCCACTCTTGGGCATATATTCAAAAGATGCACATTCATAAAAGGGTGTCTGTTCCACTGTATTCATAGCAGCATTACTTGTAATAGGCAGAACCTGGAAGCATCCAGGATTTATGTTTTGTTCAAGGTAATAGACATGGTTCTATCTGCAGTCTTCTGCATGTCAGCCTCCAGTTATGTCAGCAGCATTTGTTGAAGATGCTTTCTTTTTTTTCATTGTATAATTTTAACTTCTCTGTTAAAGATCAGGTGTTCATACATGTATGGGTTAATGTCAGGGTGTTCAATTCTATTCCATAATTTTGTAAAATAGAGTTTACTTAGAAAGCCCAGCGATGGAAAGTCTTTTCTTCTAGTTTTTATTTAATGTGCATTGGTATTTTGTCTGTGTTTGAGAGTCCTGGAACTTGTTTTATAGACCAGGCTGACTTGGAACTCACAGAGATCCATCTGCCTCTGCCTCCCCAGCATTGGGCTTGAAGGAGTGCCACCACTGCCCGGCTTTTTGTTATTTTTTTAAACACTGTGTGTGTGCATGCAGGTTTGTGCATTGAGTGCAGGAGGCTGGAGGCATCAGCTTCCATGGAGCTGGAGCTACTGGGGACTCCGAGCTGTCTAATGTGGGTTCTGGGAACTAACCTCAGCACTTCTGCACGGGCAGCAGTCGCTTTTAACTGCCAAGGCATCTCTTTACCCCTCCTCACCCCACTTGTCCCCCATACATATACTGTGTCACCCTGGCTGTCCTGGAACACCCTCTGTAGAGCAGGTTGGCCTTGATCTCCTCTGCCTCCCAAGTGCTATGTTTAAAGGCATGGGGCACTACACCCAACTTCACTTGGATTTTTGTTTGTTTGTTTGTTTGTTTGTTTGTTTTAATTTCTGTTTTTGGATCTTCTTTTCTATGACCGGACTCACAAAGGTAAACCTTTTGGATAGGAGATGGGCAAACAATAGATTGTAGAATATATGCCACAAGAAAAATGTCATTGACATACTACATGGAGACGTATCTACACAAAGAAACATTAGGTTCCTCCAGTCCATTACAGAAAAACAAAAACAAACCCAACTCATACAGCAAACTCCCTCCAAACAGTGCAGAGGGTACCCTCTGATCTCTCCGGGTTTCTTTGATTCCTGAAGCATCAGTAAGGTTCCCCAAACTATGCAAGATGTGGAAGACTTCCATTTCCCTTCATGACCTTCCTGAAACAATAAAATAAAACAAAATCTACACGGCTTAAATACTCAGAGTCGTTAGAACAGAAAAGATGGTTTCCATTCTCTGGCAGCAGGGACAGAGCAGATAGTATCACACCCCACAGTCGCTGCCCCAGTAAACAGAGCAAGACAATGGAATTAAAATCCACCACGCCACTGGATTGCGTAAAAAGGAGTCCCGAGTCTTCAGCTTCTCCTTGCTGGGAACCTAAGCTACCAACCGGCATTTCACTTCATCTCTCTTAACCTGGAATGTGTTTATGAAAACTTCTACTTCCCATTCCTCTCTCCAACAAGCCAGGCAGTTGCACAAACTCAGGCGGTGGATGCTTGGAGCTTGCCTGTGGTTTTCTGCGCCTGCCTCTGTGATGAGGGAGTGGGGGAAGGGGGGGACCTCATAGTCTTCTGGATCAGTCTGCTCTCTGCTTGTGTGGCCAGTGCTTGTTTGCTCCTGCCATCTACAGACGCGCCTGTGGGTTCCTTCCCCACTCCAGAGACAAGTGCCTCCGTATAGCCTTGAGCAGGACCGGAAGTTGGAGTGGCAATGGGGGGCGGCAGCTTGTGGCCAGCGTTTGGTGGAGGCTCCTCCAGCTTCCAGGAGTTACTAGACTCTTTATGGTCAGAGCCTGGACCACTAGTCCTCGGTAGGCCAATTAAAGAGACAGGTAGTAGTGAAAAGCGAAAAAGGAGATTTTTTTTCCCCCAGCGTGACTATAGCCAGAGAATAAGGACTGGAGACAGAAACATCAATATTAACATAGGAATCCAGTTGGCAGAGAAAAGAGTGAAATCCCTTCCTCCACCTAGGCAGCATACAAACAATGGAGCTTGCACAGTGTAGGGAAAAGGGACCAGTCAAAGAAACACACCCTGAGCAGAGCCAAAGAAACACACTTTGGCCCTGCAACCAGAACCAAAGAAATGTACCCTGACCCTAAAACCAGTGCCAAAGGAACACACTTTGTCCCTGGAAGCAGAGTCAGTGAAAGAAATGTACCCTGGCCCTAAAATTGGAGCCAAAAGGCTAAAAAGGACCAGAGAAAGAAACACACTTTGGCCCTGAAACCAGAGCCTCTGACTCTAATCCTGTTTAAAAAAGTAACCAATCCCGGAGCAGAGCTCTAACCAATCTGAGCTCAGCACTGAAATCGGACCAATCCCTACTCTGGAAAAACTTCCCTAACCCCAAGAATCCCTATATAAACCCTGTGTATGTTCAGCTTGGCTGGTCCAGCTGCCTTCCAATAAACCCCTTTGGATGAGCTTCGGGTGAAGATCTTCTTTTGCGTTGGCGACAGACCAGAGGCGACCTTGGGCAGAGCAGAGCAGAGCAAGCAGAGGCGACCCTGGGCAGAGCAGAGCAGAGCGAGCAGGGCTGTAACACTTGCCCGGGAAACCTTCCTTGGCAGAGCAGAGTTGTTACACTCTGCTCCCGGCTCCCCGCTCCCTGCTCTCCAGGAGCAGAGCTGAACTGCAGCAACTTCGCCCGAGAAACCTCCTGCCTAACAAAACTGCTACACTAGGCGAACATCCCCAGCTGGAAGACCCTGTCCTGCCGGAGCGGAGCTGATACACTGGAGAAGCCTTTCTCTGAGGCAAGGCTGTAAGCTGCCAAGCTTACTGCAACCTGTGGTGGTCCTTGGCTCCCGAGCTCCAGGATACCTTTCCACCTGAGCTGTGTAACACTCAGTATTCTGTGACTCCCAAGTGCCAGAATACCTGACCCACTCCTGTTCCATCCTGTCCCAACCCATCCCGAAATGCTTACACACAGCCCGGTCTGCTGAGAAAGACTGTGTCCTACTCAGCGTTGTCAACTCTTTACAGCCTAGGGTCGTCTGTGAGGAAAGCCTCACCTGAGGAATTGTCTAGATCAGACTTGCTTGTGGGTAGGTAGACTTGGGGCCTTGATTATTAATTTAAGAGGAGGGACCGGTCCATCTCCCAGGCTCTATAAAATCAGGCAGTGGTGGTGTGTGCTTTTAATCTCTGCACTCAGGAGGATCTCTGTGAGTTTGAAACAGTGAACAAAGAAATTGTAGGCAAATGCTCAGAGAAAGAGGAAGGGAAAAATCTGCCCAGAAGACATGGATCATTTTCAGGATTGGGAGAAGTTACCTGCTTCACCTCACGTGGTCCGTGAGAGGTCTATAAGGATTCAGGCATTATGCTGGCCTGCCCCTGCTCAGCCCAGGGTTCCATGATTGCATGCAGGTGCAAAGGACCCCTTTAAAAGAAAGACCCCCGTCCACTTACGTTCCCCCCCTTCCCCTGGGGCAGACAGGATTAGAGCAAAATAAAGGGGCTTACTCCTGAGGGAATAAATTTACAGTGACAATTCTCTCCCCTCAGTATGTGAACTGAGGTAAGGGCCTTAGGAACCAGGCTCCAATTGCTTGTAAGAACATGACGCACACCTTTGATCTCAGAGACAAACAAACAACGACAAAAAGTTATCCCAAGCTGCTGGTTCAGCCTCCAAGCCCTTAGGACCTGTCTGCTATTAAGAGGGAAATTTTGCTTCTTGGTTTTGGTCTTTTTAATACTCGAACTTTTTATCTCTGTGTAAGTGTCTATATGTAGAACATGAGTAGGAAGTAGGGACACAGGAAATTGGGGTACAGATGTGACCGAAGTGACAGCTGTTGGGATGGTGGCATTTTCTGGGTAGCGTTTTGGTTTGAAATGCAGTTTCTGAAGGCCAGGCTTAGGGGAAGCCTTCAGCAGTGTGGGTCTTGTGGAGAAAGGGTTTCTGTATCCTGAGCTTAGGTGAGAATGCTTAAAGGAAACCCCCACCCCAAACTAGGGCCATTTGACAGGCCCAATGCTTCAAGAAATGTGCTGCTGGAAAGCAGCCAGCCTGCAAGATGTGCCTGGAGCCCGGAGATTAAAAATCCCCCAAAATCTGATTTATCTCTTACTTTGAAGTTAAAAAAAAAAAAGCAGTTTGTGTGTCTGGTGAAGCCAGGCCTACACTCCACCCCAAACACCGATTCTCAGGCCCAGCTAGACTCACTCTCCTTTACCCTGGGATCCTGAGTCCTCAGTAGGCCTCCAGACCTCAGCACAGCTGACACCATGATGGAAGTGCCACCCACCGATAAAACTCATCACATAGACAGCATCACTAGCAAAAACAAAAATAAAGACCTAATCCATCAAAGTCCACCGTTCTGGGAAAGTCTTGAAATATACTAACAGGAATCAGAGAAGCTGGGGGAAGGGAAGGCCCAGCCCAGTCCTTGCTCTGTAGTTAGGGGACAGGTGGGTATGCTGGCCAGGAAGACTGTAGCAGCTCCTGAGAGATGCTGGCAAAACCTGGCAGCAGTGACTGCTTTGACATGTCAATAGACACCTAAGTTAGCCATTTGTCCTGGGTTTGTTAGCTAACAGGGATTTTCTTTTTAATTTGGGGCCTGTTTTTCCACTATAAATTCCACTTTCTCCCTGACTTGAATAATTGTCATCACTTGTTTTTATGTTATTGGTTGAATATGGGGTTGAGAATTTTTAGGGAACTTCCCTCATTCCAAATTCTAAAGGAAAATAAAAGAATAGACCCAGCATGACCTCAAAACAGCCAAGGCAGACTTAAAGGCTGTGCTGCCACTGCCCGGCTCAGAGCAGACTCAGAGCAGACGTTTATAAGTCTGAGAAACCGAGGCCTCCAGACCTGGGTCATGCAGGGGCTCACAATCAATTTTTGCAGTGGAGAGCAGGGAGGGGGACGTCCTGGCTTCAACAGGCCCAGAAAGTGGTTTTCTGAGCAAGCTCTTTTCTCTTTCCTCCCCTCCTCTCTCCCCTCCCCCAAACCTGCTGGATGTGTGGGCTGTGGGGTGATGGGGGCAGGGAATTTCCTTTAATGAGGCCCTCCCTCCTTAACCAAGGAGACCAGTCTGTTCAAGGCAGCCCTTTGAATTGTTTCCATGGCTACCGAGTCTGGAATTCTCTAAACTCCTGCTGTCACCCCACTCTGAGGAGGAAGAAATAGGAATTGTTTGTTATCAGCAAGTGGAGGCCAGGACAAATTATGTTTAGAGCACTTTCCCCCAGACACGGATAGAAAGCTAGGGCCTAGAGTGTGTAATTTGCTCTCTGATTGTCCTAGGAGCTCCAGGACCTGCGCCAAGGGCTCGCTGGCCTATCAGGAAATTATTTCAGTGCGTGAATTGGCCAGTGAGGAGAAGCTTCTAAGGTGCAGGAGGCTGCCTGACCTGGTCTGTTAGGTTCCTCGCCCCCCCCCCACCTCATCCCCATTAGACGTGTGTGTTCTTTGTAAGTAGATCCTAGATCCCTGGCCTAGAAAGCAAAGTCACTGACAGTAGTAGCAGCAAGAGGACTTCAGGACAGTGGTGCTGGATATGGTATGTTCGGCCTGCGTCTTGGATGCGGGGAGGAGGGATGCTGCATACGGAGACCTCCTCAATGGGACCGGGTCTTCCAAGGCAGCTGAGTCTGCAGCTGAGACTCATCTGGCTCCAGTGCACAGCGCTCCAGTTGGGTGGTGCTGAGTCAGCAGAGAGACGTTCTTATCCCTTGCTGAGCGCTCATACTGCAGCGTGTTGGGTCAGCTGGGCACCCGCAGCCCGGGTCTCTGCAGTCTGGACCGTGTGGGCATGGGAACCTTGGGATTCGGACTGGGGCTCATGTGTAAGGTGTGTGTGGGGGGCGGGGGATGGTGATGGTCTTGCGTTGATGGTGAATGTTTGGACTCTAGGTCTATAACTGCTACGCCCTAACTAAAATCTCGACACACCCCTTGCAATGTCGCAGGACACAGCTACCCAGGGCACCTGTGAGTCCCAGTGTAAAAAAAAAAAAAAAAAAAAAATGAGGCAGACACGCTCTCAGCGGACTGAGACCGATTTATTCGAACAGAGGAACCTTTCCAGCATGAAGCTTGAGTGCCCTAGGGTCTGAGGGATGTGCATATACACATAGGCAGCCTCGAGAAAGTACACCTATTTTTTGTGTTTTGACTGAGACTGTGTGTTTGTGTGTGTGCGCGCGCGAGCACACGTGTGCATGTGGGGGGGGATGGTGTTTTTGATACCAGGACATATTTTTCCTGCATGTGAAGCGAAGCACACGTCCTCTCTAGATGCTTACTTATTCTCAAGCAATTTAACTGATACTTTCAGAAATTTATTTGCTTTGTTTTCTGTTTTTGTTTCTTTTTACAGGCACTTAGGATCTTTGTTAAGGGAATCCTCTCATGTTGTAGGGACTCCCAACCATAAAATTATTTTCGGTGCTACTTCAGAACTGTAATTTTGCTTCTGCTATGAATTGTAATATAAATATCTGATATTCAAGATATCTGATATGCTACCCCCGTGAGAGGGTCTTTCGACCCCCAGAAGGTTGAGGTCCACTGCAGAAGCTCATGCACCCAGACATGGAAGGTTTACGACTGCCCACTTTCCAGAATCGTTCGGAGGAGTGCAATGTTTGCCTTTTTTCTTTCTGACTCCGCTAAGCAAGCTTTCTTCAGTGCTTTGGGCTTTCCTCCCCGTATTTGGACTTCCCGATTCTTTCTCTAAAGGCGCCGTCTCTGTTATGTAGCTGATTGTCCTCCATAAGGGGGACCTCCTTGACAGTTTGGAAGGGTGGCGTGGACTTTCCTCCTTCTCTTCCATTCTCTGCCTCTGTGCAGCTACTGACACTTTACAGCTTGCTTGCCCTGCAGTTTTTAACTTAAATCTAAAAAAAAAAGTGTCCTTGAGCTTTAAAAACTAATGATAGCACAAATCCCCGCCCTTTTCTTTTGATTTGGAAGACAGCAAAAGCATATAACATTGAGAGTCTGTCTTGTTAGTGTGGTGGTTTCTTTCTTCTGGGATCTTGAAAACACAGAGTCCTGGCTCATTTATTTTAAAAGGTATTGTTTTTTTTAATTCATGCTTTTAGAATTGCATACAGATAGACATTATGTTTGAGCATATTAACACAAACCTCACATGTCTAACTTCTCCATCTCCTTATGCCTCACCAAACATTTTATCCTTTTTTTTTTTTTTGTCTACTGTTCAGCTGTTGCTGCTCTTTAATTCATGGGAGCATAGTTGATTTATGAAGGGCCAGACCATTAAAGCAAACTTACTATCCCTTTCCTGGTGGCCATAAACTGACAAGAACCCCTCGAATAATGGTGAAAGGCTTGGATTATCAGCCCTTCTCCCATCCATGCTGGAATGCTGACTGGCTTGATCTTGTGCAGACAAACACAAATGCTGTATTTTATACTGTAGTCCTTTCGTGTCCAGTAGATAATGTTTTACCCCAACCTCTGGCTTTTACAGTCATTCTGCCCCATCCTCCTCGATGTGCCCTGAGACTGGGGGAACCAGGTAGAGGACAGAGGTGTGATGTAGCTGTCCAATTCATGCCTGAGCACTCCATACACATTACTCCACATTGACAAGTTGTGGGTTCCTGCATTAAGCACTGTCCACTGCACACAGAAACATCCCTCATGGAGCTAAGCGCTGCACTTACGACAATAGAGATAGGTATTTTGAAAGTGAGATTTACAGGACCTGACATGTTTTTCCTTGTGTGGAGTGGGGCTTAAGTCCAGTCAGAATGTCACCCGTTACCCCTTAGTTACACCTGTGGCTTGTGGGAGCACAGTGCCCTGTAGAGGGTGCTGGTTTTAGACCTCTATTGTAGGCATTCGTTGCAGTTAATAGCTTTGGTCAAGTACTTTAAAGTGTGTTTTAGAAATCATAGAGGTGTCGTGTTGGTGAATGAGAGCTCTGTCTAAGAACATGCGCCATCTTTTGACTTAATCAATTGAAGACGGTGGATGAGCCAGTGAGACGGCACACTTGAGAAGAGGGGATCTCAGCTGAGGAACTGGCTCCACCCATTTGGCATGTGTGCTCGCCTTCAGGGCGTTTCTATGATTGCTAATTGACATAGGATGGCCTACTCCGATGTGGGTGTTGCCATCCCAGGTCATGGGGGCCTGGGCTTGTACAGGGAGGAAAGCCCAACAAGTCAGTGGAAGCAAGTCAGTGAGCAGTGTTCACCTCTGCTCTCTGCCTCAGTTCTTACCTGCAAGTGCTTCCTTGAGTCTCCTGCCTTGGCTTCCCGCAATGATGGAATATGACCTGCAATGATGGACATGACCCGCAATGATGGACATGACCTGTAATCCACAGGAACGCTTTGCTGCCCAAGTTGCGTTTGGTCATGGTGATACAGCAACAGAAAGCAAAATAGGACACAAATAAAATACATTGTTTGTCATGAGTCCTGTTTGATGTTTGACTAAGGACAGACTAAAGAACCCAGCTGTAGCCTTGGTAACACTGGCCTTTGGTGCAAAGACAGAACATGTATTCAGGTTCCTAACAAGCTGTAAGAAGTATTAACTAGAGGCTTGCTGAGATGGCTCAGCAAGTACAGGCACTTCCTGTGCAACCTGATGGCCTGAAGTCAATCTCTAGAACCTTTGTTAAGTTAAAGTGGGAGAACCCACTCCCACAAGTTGTGTCTGACTTCCACTAAAGCTCTGTGGTATGTCCACACTCTCCACACACAATACACATGAAATCAAGGTTTTAGAAAGATGTATGTACAAATACTGTCTAACAAATCAGGTGGTGCAGACTTACTAAATAGAGAATATGTGGGGTTATACCCAGATTGCACACCTCTGATGACCATGTAAAATTATTGCAAGGTTTCTTAGGGAGAACAGATATTGATATTTTTAACTTGGGGGTATAGTTGTCTTCAAGTATCTGAGAAATGGGGGGAAGGAATCACTCTAGATATCATTTTCCAGATACCATGAGTCTATTTTGTTCAGCATTCCTAAGAACGTACATTCTAAAGACAGCTGATATTGACTTCCTGGTAGGTATTAGACAATCAGAATTTGTGATGAGAGTTGTTGGAAATGTGCAGTGCAGAGAGAGAAACTGACACGATTATGTGCATAAGAGCTCATCCTGTTTAGATGTTGCTTTCCCAGAAAGCTCGAATTTATGTGTTTGGGGGAATCTTAGTCTATAGGAGTGGTAGAGTGTGGTGACTAAGACAACCTGAACACTTGTGGAACATAGTGTCATGTCAACTTCTTATTAACTCTGTGTACATCTCCAGTGCCATGAGGCTGACTTTCCTGGAAATATATGTGTGTGCTTTTAGGAGTCAGTGAGCTTTGAGGATGTGGCTGTGAACTTCACCCAGGAGGAGTGGGCTTTGCTGGATCCACCCCAGAAGAAGCTGTACAAGGATGTGATGCAGGAAACCTTGAAGAACCTGGCCTCTATAGGTACACACGAGCATCGCCCTTTTAGTCCATCACAGGGCAAGTGTTTCTACCTTGTCTGTGTTGATGTATGAATTGGATTATGGGCAGGGGGGTGGGGTGAATGTGTCAGATGGGATCACTTACACCATGAATCTACCTGGTATCCAATATTTTCTCTATAATTAATAATTGGTAATTTTTTTCCGGGTCTGCATTTTAGGAAAGAAGTTGGGCAAACAGAAGATTGTAAATGCGTATGAAAATCTCTGGAGAAAATTAAGGTAATTTGTTTCCCAGGAGATAGCCATATTCCAGACTGCTGGTTGTCCAGGAGAACAGGTTTTACTAAGAAGTAAAAGATGTGTTTTATGTATTGTATCAAACTAATTTCATCTCAAGAAAATGTCTCCCAAAATTTGTGTCTTAACAACAGCACTAAAAGATGCCAAATATTGCTATATTGAAAACAACTAGAATGTCATGTGTTTTCATCATTCATATATGCAAACATTATGCCATACAGAGTTTGACTTTGTATTGCTGTGCTGTAGACCATGAACCAAAGCAATATGGGGAGGAAAAGGTTAGCTACACCTTGTAGTTAGCAGTCCATCATCAAGAGAAGTCAGGTCATGAACTCAAGTAGGAGCCTATAGGTGTGAACTGAAGGCAGAGGCTGCAGAGGAATTCTGTTTACTACCTTGCTCTCCTTGGCTTGCTCAATTTGCTGTCTTATATATCACATGACCATCAACCCCAGAATGGTGCTGTAGGCTGGACACGTGCACATCAATCATCCATTAGGAAACTCTGCACAGGCTTTTCTACAAGACAATCTGGTGGGTCACTTTCTCAACTGAAATTCGCTCTGATGATTTTACGTTTCATCAAGCTGACAAAATACTAACCGGTACAATTGACCCACAGGCCTATAACTACTAAACCATAAACTTTCCCATTTGCTTGTCCCCAAGATGTCCTGTTAATATCTATACCACAGTTTAAAACATAAGAAACAGTCTTAAGAAGTTTTAACAGCTTAAAAATCTAAGTTCTCTTTCAAAACCAAATGTGTCTCTAAAATGTTGAAAATCTCTGACATGTGAGCCCCTGTAATAATAATAGTAATGATAATAGTAACAATAATAAAATTACATCATTTCTTACTCTAAAAGGGAAGCAACAGGCCAGAGTCACAATCAAAGCAGAGCAAAAGCGACCTCCTGCAGTATCAGTCACTCAGTGTCCCACGTCTGAAATGAACACACTATCACCTGGGCTCCCAAGATCTTGGACAGCTCCACACCCCAGCTCTGCCACCAGCAGCACACAGGTTGTCCTCTGCCGTGCGGCCCGTGCCTTAGCACACTGGCTACTGTTGTGGGACTTTCTCCCACCTTACTGGTGTTGCCCGTATGCTGTGGTGTCCACCGTAACTGAGGCTCCACCTTCTCCTACCTAACAGAGGCAAAGGTTTATTTCACTCAAACATCCTGGTCACAGTCCATCATTAAGGGAAGCCAAAGCATGAACTCAAGGCAGGGCAGGAGCCCAGAGACAGGGACTGAGACAGAGACCCATGGAGGAAACCACTTACTGACTTGCTCTCCAGGGCTTGCTCAGACTGCTTTCTTATGTAACCAGGACCACCTGGTGCCGGGGGCAATACCACCCCCAGTTGGCCAGTCTCTCCCACAGTGATGATTGGTAACAAAAAATGTCTCCACCGATTCACCTAAAGACAATCTAATGGAGACATTTTCTCAGCTGAGATTTCTCCTGGAAGATGCTTCTACACTGTGTTAAGTTGAGAGAAAACCAACCAGGGCATACCTCAGCATTTCAAATGGTTGACAGAGGACCAAAAGATTGCCTAGCCAGTAATAGGGCTGGCCTTGTGATCATAACAACCTGAGTTCAAGTCCCAGAACCCATAAAATGACACATATCTGTAATCCCTGTAAGAGAGACCCTGCTTCACTGACATTAAAGGCAGGCAGTACTCCTGAAAGCTATCCTGAGCTCCCCCCATGTACCAAAGCAATATGCACCCCCACAAACACAGTAAATGATCACATTTTTAAACCTTAATGTGGCAATGATTTATCCACAAGTCTTGAGGACAAGTTGCAAGTTGTCAGTTTATTTCATGGACATGCACGTATTTACAAAAAAAAAAAAAGAAACAGATTATTTTGATTGATACTATTGCGATCTAAAATGCACATAAGATTGTGGACTAATATTTGTGTATAAATGCTTGTGAATATTTAATATTCTCATGGAGACATTCCCCACCATTCATGAATACCATTGTTTCTATTGTAGCTGGCCTCAATAGTCTTCAAGAGCATGTAGTCTAAACATGTTACAAACTTTTCCAGGCATGAAATCAACATTTCTTTTCTTCAATCAATAATAAATAGAGTCTTAGTCATGTACTCTTCATTTGTTTTACAGCAGCCAACTGGTAGAACAATTCTGTGACTATAAAGAAAGTCTTCAATGTACAGAAATCTTCAGCTGTACTCCAGAGCCTTCTGTGAACCTGAAATCTTGTCCAGGACTTACTACATTTTTAGGTGTGCCCCCGAACCATAAGATAGGACACAAACTTCATGAGGACCAGGAATATGGACAGAAGTTGTATAAACACAAGGAGTTTGAGGATAACTCCAGGTCTCCTCTGTCCCGTAAGATGCATAAAAGTTCTCACCCTGGAGGGAAACCTTCTAAAAATAAAGCCTGCAAAGAAGACCTATGTATCCGATCTGGTCAAAAGAATAAAGACCATGACCATGCAAAAAAATCTTACACGTGTAAGCAATGTGGGGAAGGTTTCACCCACCGCATTCCCTTAAGAAGACATGAAAAGAGTCACAGTGTTAAGAAGCCCTTCATGTGTGAACTGTGTGGGAAAGGCTTTGCTCGGATGGGTAACCTTTTGAGACATAAGATGAATCCAAATTGTGAGAAGGCTTTTCTGTGTAGTCACTGTGGAAAAACTTTTTCTCGATCTGCTTGCCTTCGAAGACATGCAAGAATTCACAGTGGTGAGAAACCCTATGTATGTGAGCAGTGTGGGAAAACTTTCCTTCATTCTGTTTACTTTCAAATTCATAGAAGAAGTCACACTGGAGAGAAACCGTATGTGTGTAAGCAGTGTGGGAAAGCCTTCACTGCATCTCGTTACCTTCATATACACGAACAAAATCACGCTGGGGAAAAGCGTTATGTGTGTAAGCAGTGTGGGAACGCCTTCTCATTTTGGAATCAGTTTCAGAAGCATAAAGTAATTCACAGTGGTGTGAATCCCTTTGTTTGTAAGCAATGCGGCAAAAACTTCACGTGTTCCGGTTCTCTAAAAACACACGAAAGAATTCACACTGGTGAGAAGCCCTACGTGTGTAAGCACTGCGGGAAAGCTTTTGCTCATTTTGGTAACCATAAAAGACACGAGAGGATTCACACTGGATAGAGAGCCTCTGTATGGAAGCCTTGTGGGAAAACTTTCAACGACTATGACTCCTGCATACTGGAGAGAAGACCTCTAAGTGTGAGCAGCACGGGAAGCCGTTTGCTTCTTCTTCCTCCATTTTGGAACCACGGGTGGAATCGCTCTGGAGAGAAACCCTATCTGCGTTTGCAACATGCGGAAGCTTTCCGTTGTGACAGTTGTCTCTGAAAACAGAAAACAATTCTTACTGTAGCAAAATCCCATGAATGTAAGCAACGTTGGAAAGCCTATAGTCATTTGTCTGAAGTTCGAGGATGTGAAGGAAACCACACCAGCAAAAGACCCTGTGGGAGTAAGACATGTGGGAGAGGCTGTTTGAGGTCATCTCTTGTGACACTAATTCACAGTAGAACAATAAGGATGTTTGTAAGTAATGTGACAATATCTTCTCTTTATAAGCTCTCACAGAAATCAAACCACGAGAGAGTGAAACACCTTATGCTACGGAAATCTTATTAGAGAAAAGTTATTCTTTTGAATCAATATAGCTTTTAGTACTAGAAGACCCTATCAAATACATGGGAGCAGATACTGGAGAAAACCCCTTTGAGGAAAAGCTGCAAGTAATATGATAATTCTTTTGATTGTGGAGAAGATGGGAAATAGCTTACACAGGAGACAAACCTTATGCACACAATGTGGAAAACCACTAGTTCTTAGGGGGCCCTCAAAAGACATTGTAGTAGTCGTTTTGGGGAGAAACCCTTCATTTCTAAGGAATCTTTGTTATCCCAAGTTGTTTTATATCCCAAGTTGTTTTATAGACATGAAAGAACTCACTGAGGGTAGCCTAAAGTACAGAATTGTGACGTCTCCGTTTTCACATTGGTAGCACTTAGAAGAATGTATTGAAAGAACTCCTCACATTGAAAAGTGTGTGGGAACATTTCTTGGTTCAATTAAAAAAATTAAGAGATAGCAAGGCTTGGGAAACAAGTTCATTAAAGGAGAGATTTGATTTTAACCAGACAATCTCACCCACTGAAGTCTACGTGCCCTCTTTCACTCTCTCTCTCTCTCTCTCTCTCTCTCTCTCTCTCTCTCTCTCTCTCTCTCTCTCTCTCTCTCTCTCTCTCTCTGTTCCTGTTTTCAATTTCTAACTTTTGAAAACTTTATTTCATGAGTGGGCATTTTTCTTGCATCTGTGTCTGCGCTACACATGTGTACCCGATGCCCGATGAGGCCAGAAGAAGGCAGTGGACCCCCTAGAACTGGAGGCACAGATGCTTTTGAGCCTTCATGTTTGGGGTGCCAGGGATAAAGTCCAGGTTCTCTAAACTGCAGCCTGTGCTCCTAACCAGTGAACCATTTCCCCAGCATCTCCTTCTGCTTCTTTTAGCAGGGTCTACTTACCATGTAGCCCAGGCTGGCCCACACTCACTATAGCACTCCTGTCTTCGCCTATCATAACATGTTTAAGTAGTATTTTGTCCAGAAATGTATTTGTCCTTGTTAAAAATAATACACAGCAAAAATAGTTATTCTTCACCTGCACATTCTTTATTTTAAGCAAACACTTTTTCTTTTTATCTTCGTCCACTTTACTGAGGAAAACATGTAAATAAGTCACCTTTTGCCCCACCCTAATAGCATATTTAGATGTTTACATTTTTAATGATTTTAGTTTTTTATTGAAAATAAATTTTTTCATATATTATATTCTGATCATGTTTTCCCCTTCCTCTTCTCTTCCTACATCATCTCCTCATCAAACATCCTGCTTTCCTTCCCTCTCTATTTAGTAAACAATACACATCAAAACCTACAATTTGAAAGCATGCAATAGAAGCAAAAGACCAGTGAGATAAAAATTACCCTAAGAATTAGGAGACAAGTTTTCAGAACAATCATTGGGTTGACTCTGTTTGGCCATCTATTAACGGGCATTGGCCTATGCTTAAGTGTGGTTTGCATGCCCAGTGCAACTCTACTGGGGAAACTAATTTTTCCTTAGCAAGTGGCTGTCAATTGGACATAGCTTCTTGGTAATTTAAAATTTCAAATGTATCTGGGGAGTGATGGTTCATGGTTATAGTCTTGGTGCTCCCAGTGAAGATTCGGGAGGATTTCAAGATCAAAACCAATCCTTGATGCAGAATGAGTTCGTGATTACCAAGAACTATATACAAAGGGGGACATTTTGGAAAGATTTTGTTATGTTTTAAAAATATGTGTCTATGTGGGTATGTGTCTGAAGGTGCCTGTAGAGGCCTGAAGTGCTGGATCCCCTGGAGCTGGAGTTACATGCAGCTGTGAGTTTCCCAACTGAAGTCCAGTCCTCTGCAAGAGCAGTAAACTCTCAACTGCTCAGCAATCTCTCCAGCTCCTAAATACACTTTTGTGCGATTATGTAAGTGGGTTTGCACTGTACACAACCATAGAGTCTAGGTCTTCTCCTCGGTACTGCATGTGAGATCCATCCGTGACGTGTATGTCAAGACTCCTTTCTTTATATTGCTGAGTGGGTTCTATGCCCCCTGGAAGCAGAATCAATGAACACAGTTTGCTAATTCATTTGTTAAGACCTTGCTTTTCTTTCATCAGTGTGATGTGGTTCGCACCACAGGTCTCCTGCAGGTACTATTTCATGTTTGCATCTCCGGGGTCACAACACTTTAATAACTGATTCTTTAAAAGGTTTTTTTGCCCATTGTTAGTCATGTAACTTCACAGGCATTGGTATGCATTTTTTTCTTTATATTTATTTGTGTGTGTGTGAGTGTGTGAGTGTGAGTGTGTGTGTGTGTGTGTGTGTGTGTGTGTGTTTATTCTGGAATCACTGAATGACTACACACTGTCCATGCAGGGCTATACTCATGGGTGGAGGTGCTAGTGGAGCCCCATGCCCAGATCAGGATTTTGCATCTCAGGGAACACAGTACAAACAATTCTGCCTCACATCCTGAGGGATGGAGACACCTGCCGTGCCGTGGGATGAAGTGAAGTGTGGTCTGTTCTCACAAGTCACACAGGCTGAGTCCTGTCACATCCCCCACACGCCATCAAACAGTCTATCTTCTTAAATATAGGCAATAAGCCGGGTGCGGTGGCACACGCCTTTAGTCCCAGCACTCTGATGACAGAGGCATGTGGGTCAATGTGACCTGTTTGACAGACCTCTCTTTCCAAATATTTACATTGTGATTCATAACAGCAAGATTACAGTGATGACGTAGAGGAATAATTTTATGGTTGGGGCACCACAACGTGAGGAACTGTGTGACAGTCAGAGCATTAGGAAGTGAGAACCACTGCTGCACACTTAGCCGTGAGCTGCTGGGGTGGGAGCTGGGAACAGAAGCCTGGACCTGGCCAAGAGCAGCAAGGGCTCTCAGTGACTCAGCTGTCTACCCAGCTCCTCGACCTTAGCATTCATTGTAACCCTGGCATTTGTTTTCAACACAACAAAGAGTCAGCACCGTTGTGTACAGCAGCATGGACAGCAATAGCCTCTGGGGGCACTCACTGCCCTCACATGCTCATACCCGGACCCCCCAGACCTGCAAGTGTAAACGTAGTTAAAAATAAGTATTGGTTTATTTTGCTTTTAGTTTTATCCTTGTCTTGTTTTTAATGCAGGTGTGGTGGGCTCGATAGCTGGGCCCAGGCCTTCACATAAGCTCAGCAAAGGTTTTACCACTAAGATGCATATCTAGCCCTGTGCTGTTCCTGGAAGGGACTTGGTCTTTGAGGGAGACCACTACAGTCACAGAGCAGAAAGGCAGATACAGCTGCTGGTTATAGCTCTGAAAGAGTTTTCCACCCAACCCCAAGGTCTACAATTGCCTTCACGCCCTGGAGCTTTCTTCAGCATCCAGTACTAGCCCTCCATGGGGCTCAGGCATGGGTGACAGCAGGATTCTGGGATCTGGAGAGGCCTAGAGTCTGTGACTTGATTTTTACGTTGTCTAGTAAAAGTTGCTTCTCCTGTCCCTTGGGCAGGATTGGAGCTTACTGATTGATATATCATGGTTTTATTTGAATGCACTGTCTGCCCAATGAGGAGTTTGTTATCGGCTCTATTTCTTTCTCTCCCTGGACATTAGGCAAGTGTGTGCTCTTTGGAAGTCGGTCGATCCAGAGTAGTGATTCGCTGACTACAGGTGTGGCGGGCAGACACCAGGACACCAGGAGGCTGGAAATGGTGCCTGCGACAGAGCATCCCAGATTGGGAGGCTGCGGGGCTGGGAGCGGGGATGTGCAATTTGGCAGCAATGGGTACATGATCTTCCACTAGCGGCTGAATCTGGTCTGGCTCCGCTGGGTCACGCTGCCCGGATGGCGCTGGGTAGAGCTGGACCTGCAGGCAGGGCAGTGGTCCTCTCCTGGTGGTCCTCTCCCTCCCCTGCTGCCCCGGCGCCTCTGGGCAGCTGCTGGCAGCCCCAGGTTCTGCATTCTGGGCAGTGTTGACTGAGGATCATGAGGAGCCTTAAGAATAAGTGGGGCTCCTAGTCGCGGGTGTGGGGGAATGGGATCTGCATGGAAGGTGACATTTAGGTCACTGCCCTGTAACATCGCCGCACCCGATGCGGAGTCTCAGCAGAGCACCTGTGACTCTATGTGTAAAAAAAAAAATGAGGCAGAGAAACACTCAGATTCGATGTCAACAGGCTGAGACCACTTTATTGGAACAGCGAGGGACCCCAACCTGTCCTGCATGAAGGTTGAGTGCACTTACGGGGCTGGGAGACGTATACATACGTGTGTGTGTGTGTGTGTGTGTGTGTGTGTGTGTGTGTGTGTGTGTGTGTGTGTGTGTGGTTTGATTGGAAGTAGGGAGGGTTGTTTGTGACACTTGGATGTATTGTTTCTGCAGGTGAATCAGCGGAACGATCAGCCTGGGGTTGTGCAAGTCTTTCTGGCTAGGAGCTATTGCCCTGCACAGCTTGACTCACTCAGTTCCTCCTGACCCAAGGCTTTTTCTCACCGCTACCAGCAGCTGCCTTGAGGGTGGGAAGAACCAGCTCCTCTGTGGACTCTTGTTTTTCCTTCCTTTTCCCTAATGTCTGGATGCAGGATGGCTTAGAGTCATAGTTCTAGTCTTTATGAGTTCCTTCCCCATTCCATTTTCACACAAAATCTTACCACACCCCCTTCAAACCTTATTGAACAAGTACTCCCCCCATTCCCTCCAGAAGAGAAGGCTGTTTCTCCTTTCAGGACTTTTTTTTTTCGAGACAGGGTTTCTCTGTACTGTTTTGGAGGCTGTCCTGGAACTCCCTTGTAGACCAGGCTGGCCTCGAACTCACAAAGATCCACCAGCCTCTGCCTCCCAAGTGCTGGGATTGAAGGTGTGCACCACCAACACCCGGCTCCTTTCAGGACTTCTACGAGGCTGCTTGTGCCCTGATGCTGTAACTCAACTCACCCAAGGAATTTCTTCTCTGCCAAGCCCTTAGCATCATTTACTTTACAGTGAGCCCACGAGCCTTGAACCTGTTTTGTAACCAACAGACAGACGTATTGATGTGAACTTGCTGTTCTGAACCTGTGCCCCAAGCCACACCCAGCCACTCGTTCTCAATAAGCCAATAAAAAAGAGCCAAGTTATTAGTGAAAAGCAGAAAAAGACACGCTCGGTGTATGTGACTGAAAAAAAAGACACGCTCGGTGTATGTGACTGAAATGGTCGTGTTAAAGAGACCAAACTAGCTGCTCCTTGGGTGAAAGCAGGAAATGCTTATTACAAACTTCCCAGGCTGTCTCAGGAAAGCAGTGAACCTAAGGGAGGTCATTTTCCAGGATTTTCAGGTAACAGGACTTGGGAGGAGGGGAGCCTTTGAGCTAGGGTTTGACGTGTGGATAGCCACATGTTTGGCTTTTCATCCCAGTGTTGTTTGTCTTTTGAGAAAGGCTCATACTATTTAGAACTGGCTGGTTGCAACTCCTTATGTAGGTAGAGGAGGCTGGCATTGAACTCACAGAGCTGACTTTCCTGGCCCTGTCTCCCAGGTACTGGGATGAAAGATGCACACAACCACACCCTTTGATCCCAGTTTGAATCGCCAGCATTAACCAGCAGAGCACACATTGACATGTCACACAG